TGGCGTGAACCCACAAGTTGCTTTCTCTCCTTTATGGCCCTTCTGCTTTAAATAGTGATTTATTATTATTATTATTAATGATTCTTTAAGTAAAACTCTCGTAACTCCCCGTCAAACAAAACTTGCAGAGGAGGGGTGGGTGGCGGTGCCCAGTTTGGCCACGATGCCCCTTCCTGTCCCTGTCCCCTTCCCCTGCCGGCCCTGCAGGAGTTTGGGACCTGCCTGGGTTGTTTCCTCAAAGCTGAGGTGCTTGGAAATAGGGGGCTGGGGGCTGCGCTTTTCCCCGAATTGCAGAAAAGTTTGAGGTTAGGGTGTTTCAGTGTAACTACCAGGATTACAGGCATGCCTGCTGCAAACACCAAAGGCTACCTCTGTCATCTGTGAAAGGCTCTGGTGTCCCTTCCCTGTGCTGGTCTTTGCCACACTTTCTTTTCCTTCCCAGCCTTTAATCCGTGTCCCACACTTTCTGTTTAGTGTTTGCAGAGGAAGGTGGTGCTGGGCTGTACGTGTACAGCACTGTGTTGGACTCGACGGTAGCTGTTCCATGCTTGAATCAGGCTTAAAATAGTTTTTATTTTGGTATTTTTATTCTGGTCTCATCGTTTCCTGCAGAAGGGAAGTGCAGTATGTCATAATGTGTTGTATCTTGGCATAATTAGGCTATTTAACATCGCAAATTAAATATCTTAGGACCTTATTCATTTGCAATAAGTTCTGTAGGGTTGCCAAATTGGAATGTAGAGTACAGTACACTTTTTTTTCTTTTTTTAAGTCCCTCACAGTAAGTAGGCTGCAACATAATACGTGGTAACTCTCCTCGTGTTTCCCCTCCAGTGATCCTCAGCGCTGCCGTGGAGGAAACACCTTTCAGAAGCCATCCGGAATTCCTCTAGATTGCCTTGTAAGGCTGAGGAAAAGGATGCAAGTTGCAGTAGTTCATTTTCTTTTTTCATTTTTTAATAGCGTGGATTCTTGCTACTTAGACTGCATGATAATATTTTTTTTTTTCAAAAGTTACCAAACAGGTATTATGTGTATGTTAATAGCTTCAGTGCTAGGGTAGGCTTGGTTAAAGCAGAGGTCTGCTGCTGATAGGCTGTGCGTTATGCTGTCAGAAGAAATTCAGGTCTTCATCTCTTTTGTGAAGTTGTGCGAAGACCTCTGGTTCTGCAGCAAGACGTCGTTCATGCCCAGCGTTAGCGTTGTTGGGTCACTTAAGGTAGCTCTCCTGTGATATTCTCTCTACTAACTCCTGAAACTTTGCAGGCTGTTGATTTGTTTTACAGAAGCATTTAGATACCTGAGCTGGCAGGCAAGCCCCATTTTTTGAGGCACTACATAACTAAGCAACAGTTTTCCTCTCAAGGAGCTGCTGGATAAGGCAAAATATGGAAATAAGAGATGGCAATCTTGTAAGGAAAAGATTAAAAGCTCTGTGCAGTGCAGGTTTTATTCCATTCTGATTTATTCTGTAAAGTCCAATTCCAGTCCTGTGCCTTAATTCCTACGTGCCTTATACGTATGCATGTCAGAAAGCTGGGGGAAAGCTTAGGTAAAAGGTCATTTCATTTGTGTTTGTGCACTTTCTGCTTTTCTGGCCTGACTCGTCTCTTTTGTGATCCTCCCAGCCCGTCTGGGTTTTCTAACTAAGCATGCTGGAGTAAAATGACCAAATGAGGGCAACGTCTGCAAAGTGCTTGCTGTTTAAAACACTGATGGGCAGATGGGTGACCTGTGAACGTCTGTTGGCCATCCTGGGTACGCAGGGTGTAAAATCACAGAAAACAGGTTTGCAAGACACCTTGTGAGACCATCTTGTCCAGCCCTGTTACCTGCATCGTGAGGTTACCTGGCGTCCTGAATAAATATTTCAGTCCCCCAGAGGATCGTGTACCACTTGAGTACACTTCTGAATGACTCGCTGATAACATGCCTGTGACAGGAGGGATATTCATGTGCCAGGTTACACTTTGTGTCCGCCCTAGCTGCAGTTTTTCTTCATGATCTGAAGAACTTAAAGGAGTCATTTTACTTAAGAAAATTACATTTTCTAGAATTATAGCTTTGCTGCCTCCTATTTTGCTCAAAGCTTGCTTGGTTGCAAGGATTTTCTGAGAGTATAAGAAAGTAACTCTTCAGTCAGGTCACACTTTTTTACACTTGCTTGCACCTGGTAGCTGTGGGATTTTATATGTAGGCTTATAGGAGTTGATGGAACAAAATCCCTTTAAAATCTAATCCCTAATGTGCCACGTAGTGCTATCAGTGTGTCACCTTGCCTACTTCACACAAGCCTATACTCTTTACAGCTGGTGAGGAGCTGAGGCGAGCTGCTTGTTATTTACAGCAGAAACATGTATGCTGCTTCTTTGCTGGAGTGTTTTGCCTTACTTTAGAGTCCTCAGCGTACAGTTTAACTCAGGTGAAAGAAATCCCTGTCCTGTTAGACAGCTTGCTTGGTTTCTGTTGAGGCACGTAGCTCACGTGAGTGCCACGTGACATTAAGGTAGCGTAATGCACATATAAAGGTGTACAAAGTACACCTGGGTGCATTTGATTTCTTAGTGCTGTTTTGACTGTCAGACCAAGGTGATACTGCTGCATATATATACAAAGAAAAAGTAAAGGCTTTCATTCTACAGAAGTTTTATAATACATAAAATTTATGTACATGTGCATAATACAATCCCTTAAAAGATCTTTATGCTCTTGTTTCATTACTTGCTCTTTCTTACATGTATTTTTTTTCCTGTTCTACAATTCTGAAATGTCCCAGGGTTAGTAAGACAGCATTATCATGAAGGAGAGTAAGCGCTTAGGATGCCCCAGCATTGCTACACAAATATGTCTTGATGCTTAAAAATATAACCTGAAACCAGAACTTGAGTATATACATGGCCATCTTTCAAAACTTCATTACTGCAAAGTAGCTGCCATTTACTTGTAAAGAGGAGAAATTAATCAAAATGCAAGAGCATGACTGAATTAATAGGCAAGTGTGGCTGAAGTACTTGCAGCAGAGGAAAGTATATCTGATTTTGTAGAACAGTTGATCTGATAAAACTTTGTCACTGTTTTTATTCCCCTGTGGACTCACCATTATAAATCCAAACAGAACCTGCACGTGCTGTGCGAGTCTGGAAGCAAAGCTAAGGACACGTAACAAGATCCACAGCTGCTGATGTGTGGCCAAAGGTTAGTTGGGTGCAGTGCAGTCTGCTGGAAGCAGTGTTTGGTTCCGTTCCTTCAAATATTTGGACACAGCTCAAGTTAAAAGCGATCGGTCCCTCATACCTGAAAATCAGAGTTATACAACAATTAAAAAAAAATAAATCCACTAGTGTTTATTCATGGGTTTTGAGACCCACTTTCGAGAAATGAAAGCCACTGTGTTTGAGAATGCATTTCTTATCACACACTTGCTTTGCCAAGGGATTAATCTGTTCCTCTTCCAATAACTGAGCTAGTCCTTCTCTTTTGTTAGTTAAAATGCAGTGAAAACAAGAAGCTGTACCAATTTTTCCCCTTTTTTGACTCATTTAAAATACTACTTCTGAATGGTTCCAGGTATGCTCTTCTACCAGTGTGCCCAGTTACTGATGTGCTTGGGGTTTCTAAGCCAGCTATACCATGTCTAGTGAAGCTTTGAGTCCAACGGATTTATGATGGTAGACCCTAATGATGTTTATTACAAACCTAACGTTTCAGGTCTCCTCTGTTTTTCTTAACGTTGCTCCATTGTGAACTTGAAGCACCTCAGAGCGTGGCAGTCTCAGCAGACTGAAGCTTGCAGGCTGCAGAACAGTGACTGTGTGGGTCTTGGCAATATCCTCCTCCCTCTTAGGTCCCCCCAGGGTACTTCCACACAGTGGTTTGAGGTGAAAACAGGTGATCTGCATGTGAAAACGTAGTCCTTGAATTCTACGCTAGCACATTCAACTGGATCACATTCCTCCTGTGGTTATTCATGGAGTGGATACTCCTCTAGTGCCATCAGCTCTCAAAAGTGAGGACTCGCTGAGGAGTTGTCTTTATCATTTTGCATACATACTGACCTGTGTGTAGGAGACCAAAGACATCTGGGAACCACTGATGTAACGGAACAGGAGTAGTCATCATTCTACCTGCCCTTTGTAGATCCTGTATTAATTTTACTGTTCAGTTTTAAAAAGAGTAGTTTCTGAATGAAGTTAAAATTAGTATAAGGGTTTTTCTACATAAGGGAGATCTGTCTGTGAGATAGGAAGGGAAGTCCTGGCTCTAGTCACCCGATCCCAATCTCCCTGTTGAAATAGCCAGCATGTGAGTACTAATTGTAGTGGTGGTTTCTCTAAAGTGCACTAAGATCACTAGCTTCTTTCTCACAGGGCACTGAGTGATCATTAAATGCTAATGACTTTTGATTACCGTTGACCTCGGTCAATTTAGAATTAGTGACCTAGAGACGAAAACCACTGTATCTCATTACCAATTTCCTGGGCTATCTGATCTTGCCTTTGTAAGTCAGCTTTGATAAGAGGCAGAATAGAATTAAAGTTGACCTCTGTCTTAGGAAAGGATTGAATGCTTTCAGGTTTGCAATATGTTTAAAAACATAGACACACAAAAGAGGCAGCCACTAAGAAAGAACTTATTTTTTGACCCCACAGTTTGTCATGAGGAAAAAAGCATGCAATGAAATGGGCAAGCTTAGGCAGTAGTGCTGGTGGGGAAGAAATGCACAATTTGTTGCTTTTAAATTTTTAGAACAGTTTATCTCGTGTAACCTTGGGTAGAATTTCTCATTTTAATATTGAAGGTTTTCTCATCTCACACATTTATTTATAATTCTTGCTTTTACATTGAACTATCAAGCAGCAAATGAATGTTCATAGAATAAATTGCAAGTTCTACTCTGGGATATTTTCTGCTTGCAGTTCCTAAACTATGACGTTAGGAAATGTGTCTCGGCAGGCTGGTAAGATCATTTATTTCGTATTGTGATGAAGCATTTCACATAATTTCTTTCCATATGCACAAAATGGAATGTTTGTGTGATAATTCACTAACAGGATCAAATATGTTGTTCACTGTAGACTCTTTAAACATAAGTCTTTATACAGTTACGGTTTATGCAGAACGTCATTTGTGTGACATACACGGTATTGAATTGACAATGAAAATTCTGGGGGAAGTTAAACCTTTTTTTCCTTTCTCACTTCGCTATGCTAGCTATGTTTTTATACAGCTGGAAACTGAGTTTTTTAACTTTAAAAGCAAAACTCGAGAGTGTAAAGAAGTCATTTTTCTGTTACATTAGTGCGTTTTGGGTGTAAATATTAAGTTATTGAATCTCTCGCTGTGGCTAAATTGCAAACTTTTGGCAGCTAAGCAAGAAAAAAATGACAGTAGGAAGGTGTTGCACTTGGTTTTGGAACAGGTTTAAGGTGAGCCAATTAAAATTCATGCAGAAAGAACGTGGATTGCATCGAGAAGTAATTATGGGGATAAATGTTTTTTCTTATTTTAAATACAATGTTTTGATTTGATTGCTTTGCCTCAAAAAGGCTGTTGCTGTAAAAATCAAAAAAGGGGGCAATGAAAATAATTGCAGATACAAAAAGGATATTAGAAAGATTAAGGATGTCTTGGTAGGGAAACCAGTAAGAAGTGATGCGAAGAGATTTAGCCTGTATCCTAGAAAATAATGGAATAATAGGAGGATACAAGACAATTTTATTCTTTAAACTCCTATTTATAGAAGTTTGTGTTCACCTGTTGATTGGGCTGCTCAGGTCTTCCTACTTCTGTTTCCTTTAAAGCATTTGAGGGCAGTTAGGGAAAAAAATGTAAAAGCTATATTTGTGGATAGAATTATGCGGAGGGTTTAAGTCCTCATTCTTTAAAGCCCAGAGTAAGCACTAGGCAGAGTTGGGAGGAATATTTGCCCACAAGCATGTTGCTAGTATAGCATACCAGCTATAGCAAAACACAATTTAGCTTCTAGCATTGGTTCCAGATGCTTTTCTATTCTGATGCTATTCTGTTCTTGGCTTTTCTGAGAAAGAAACACTCTCTCCTTTTTTTTTTTTTCCCCTTGTATTTTAGCGTATTCTCTGAAAGTCTTCATAATTTTATCTTTCTTCCTGCTTTAGTCTCCTTCTTACCCTAGGAAACCTTACTGAGGAAGACTTGAAGGCCAGCTTTTCCATGCAGACAGAAACAGTTATGGTCCTGGTTAGCTTCAGTGCTGCCAAACAGAAACTTGGGAGAGAGCAAGGAGGTTGGAAAACGTTGTCACTTGTAATGCGTTTTTTACTTGAGGAAGTCGAGAGCAGAGCTATCAGTCCCCTTTCCAAGTGAGCATTTTTACCAGCAGAAGGGGGTGAATGGTGATGGGGAAGGGTTCTTCCAAGTGACTAAATAATTCATAAAGAGGTAAACAGAATTAGGCTCTTCAGCTGTGTGAGTTGGTTTTCTTGGTTTTATTGTTTATTTGTTCTTTGAATTAAACACTGATTAAAAAATTGTGTGTAAAAAGTGAAATTAAACAAGAAGTAGCAGTGGACAGGTAGATTTGTTAAACATTAACATGGTGTATTTATTTTGGTTAATAGAGATGTACCATCTGAAACGTGCTTCATTGGGGAATCCAGAATTTAAACAAAGAATTTTAATAATGCATAGCCGTAATAACAGCCCAGGGAAAGACTTGGCAACTTTACAAAAAGAAATATATGCATTTTCTCAATGCCTACTTGGAATTCATTCCTCAGTTCAGGATCTGGTTGTGACAGACTATTGGGAATTTTGATGAAATCTTGTTGCTTTTTTTTAGGGAATTGTCTAGTTCCTGGTACTACATCAAGAGCAGAGCTGTAAATATGTGATACAAGAAAAACACAACCTATTAGAGGAAAAAACATAGAAAATTTTGGATGTGCTTGCTGTTGCGTAAGGGGAGACTGATGTCATGTGAGGAGGATTTCCATCAACCCTGGAAATTCAATGATTTCTTGAGTGTAAATTACCTTCAGAAAGGCATAACTCTGTGTGTGTATATGTATATACACACTTAAAAATTAATGCTTCAGATTTTTTGTTTGCTTGTTTTTAAGAATTTTTATCCAGGAGCAGATTTGCAAGGGTTTTTAATTTGCTCCTAATTTGAAAGAAGGATGAAACTTGATGCATGGTTGGACGTGGTGCTTAGGGACATGATTTAGTGAGTGACATTGGTAGGAGGGTGATGGTTGGACCAGATGATCTTGGAGGTCTTTTCCAACCCTAACGATTCTATGATTCAGCCTCAGAATATATTTTTTTGCTAAATTCCTTGCATCTGGCATGAAGGAATTTCATTAGACCCGTGTTAAGACTTAAGGATGGAATTTCTGGTTTGATTACTTCTAATAATGTATCTGAAGGATGAATTTCCTTTTTTTCTAAGCTATACTTATGAACTTCTGTTAGTAAAGAAGCACGTGAATTACTGAAGAAAATAAGGAAAACATCAGAACAAGTTTTTGGAAATTGATAGATCTGTGGGTAAGAGAAGATGGGTTAGTTCCTTCACCAGAAACAGACTGATTGGAACTTGAGACTCTGACCAGCCTTTCAACAGGGAGAAGTTCATAGCTTGCTTTTACTGATTGCTAGCGTTGATTTGTAAAGTCATTAACATTATGTGTATAATAAAAGAAGAAAAGTTTTTTATGGGAAAATATGTGGAAGTTGTTGCCAAAACAGTAAAAAAACAGTGCAAGTAGCACTAGTTTTGTGTGTTTTTTTCCCCCACTTCACATGGGTCTAATCACTGGTATATGTCGCTTTGTTCTGAGCTAATAAAGTTCAGTGGAAGGTGGTATAAAGCTTGTAAAGGGTCATAACAGAACCCAGCAGTTGCTATGAAAAAGTTGTAGAATCATCAATATTTTCCATTTCCAGCAGACCAGGTTTTGATGGGGGACTTAAGAACGGACAGAGCTGCCAGTTAGGCTTTTTACCTACTGGGGTAGATTTCTATCCTTTGACACCGATGTTGTCTTGTCTAGTAGGGGTCTGTCCGACTGTTGGGTTCAGCCAGAACATACTTCAGCTGCAGCTTCTTCCTAACCTCCTTCCCCAAGAGAGTACAACTTGCTATAAATATGTGTGGTGTGTTTTACAGAAGTCAAAGGTCTGCCTGGCTCCTGGTTCCCGTTTACTATTAGTCTTTCCCAAACTGAGGTACCAATTGAGTCTCTCTGTCATTCCCTCCCCTTCTGCAGCCTACTTATTCACCACGCGTATAATCTTTGGACTTGTTTGGCAAAGTAGTTTGCAAAAGTGTGTGAGGACCTTGATTTTTTTCGTATGTGTTAGTAAGTGAAATGGATTTGCGGAATGAAAATTAAGTCTCCCATATGAATCTCCTAATCTCTGTTACTTTTCTCCTACTGCCAATGGCAGTGCCAAAATTCACCAGATTTTTTGACCAACGCATGGCTATTCAGTATCTCTAAGGTTTTTATTTTTTTTTCCCAGTGCAGTGGCAAATAGGTTATTACTGTAACTAGAAGGGACGGAAGTTTACCTAAGCAGGGGAACAAAAAAAACTTACACAAACCCAGCAAGGTCACATTTTGTGCTGAGAAGACTTGCTGTGTTCCCACTGTAAATTCTCCGCTGTGAGCAATTATAAACATCCCATCTGTGGGATTAGTTTCTTTCCCTTTACCCCTTCTTTTACTTCCACAATTCAACACAGCTAGGATTGTTGGTTTCTGACCCAAATGAATTTGTCACAGACCAAAAAGAAAAATGAGAGTAAGAAAAGGGAGAAGAAAGCTTGTTAGGAAATATTTCTTTGGAAATTGCTTCACCTGCCTCCTTAATCTGTTTAGGAATGTCTCAGTTTTTCAGCCACAGCAGCCATAACCCACCGTCATCTTTTACATTACCAGCAAAGGTGGTTTTGCATTGAGATGCCAGGCTGTGAAATACAGCAGCTGAGCATGGACAAGCGTCTTTCCCTGTGAGCTTCAGGCAGAGGAGAAAGACATGTCTGGAAATGATATCCTATCAAACCACTGCAGCCAAGCCTTGGGATGGCCGCTGCCGGTGGTTTTAGTTAGTGCTTAACGTGGAGCATCTCTTCAGGAGACCTGATAATCTGTGCAATATCTGCACATGAGGTTTTTACAGTCCTTGGGTTTAATGATGTTCTGAGATGACATGTTACGGAGCCGTAGCTGCAATTCAAGCAGTCCCCGTGGGGTTTTCAATAAACAGCCTGTGAGTAACTTCTGTGCCTCAGTGTAAGTCAGTGGCAGACTGTCAGGGATTTCAGCAAGGTCGACTGACTCTCCAACAACTTTTGATCTTTTCTTTTTCTTTTGATGTTGTACTCTTGTCCAGCAAAGTTAGTAAAAGCTACATATGGCTAAGCTTGCATTAAGAGGAAAGAGGATTTCTTCTTTAAAACTTGAAAATAATTGAGGTGATGTTTGAATGATCAACCCAGCCAATATTTTAAGGTGTGAAATGTTGACACCCAACACTGAGTATTTCTTCTCTGCTTTTTTAGGTGGCTGTGCTTTCCCATTTTTATACACTTGACCTACTGTTAAGGAAATCTGTTCTATGTTTAAGCCCTAAGTAAGCTAATGACTGAAAATTAGTCTCTTTTCTTATTTAAATGATTTGGTTGGCGTAGATTATATCCTGTTTATTTCAGAAAGTAGCTGTTAATAAAATCAGGATGCGTTTGCATCTCAAGGAACAATTTCTGCCTGAGACTCGCTAAATTGTTCAGACTTTGATTTTATGCTTTGAAACATTGATTAAGTATATTCACTCTGATTTGCCTTAATCTGATTGCACATCGAGAAGTTTTCTTCTGATGTGGTGCAGCCACGTCTGGTGTAAGCGGGCCTAATTAACACCGCTTAGTGATTTGAGCCCCCTGTCAAAGGCTGTTACATTAGCGAGAAACATAAGGAGTTAAAGCTGAAGCTGTGACCTCATCTCTATTCATGTTACACTGGAGTATAAACTCCGCTGAAAGGGATTGTTTAACCGCATCGCCGTCTTTTCCGCTGCTCGCTGATTTGCTTTAATTCGCCTCGGATATTTATAGCGAGCTCCTTCTGCACAACTGCTGCGGGAGGGGTTGTGGGAACACCGGGGGCATGGGGAGCCGTGCTGACAGCAGTTGCGTGCGGGAACACCGAGGCTCAGACACGTCTCTCTACCTGCTTTCAACTTTTTTATCGCTTTCCCTGTGAAAACTGGGGCAGCGTGGAGGAGGGCAGGAGCTCCCTGGCCACCTCGCTTAGCGCTGCGCCTCGACTGGGGAGCGCCACTGCTGTCGCTTTAACGTTGGCACCGCGCACGGTACAATAGGTGTCACTGTGCGGCTGGCTCCAATCGCTTGCCGGTGACTTCAGCCATTGGCTCCGAGCGCTGGCTGACTCCATCTGCAGGGCTGCAACACCGGCTCTCTCTTCGGATCCCTCCATCGCACGAGTTGGGCGCGCTGAGCGGTGCCACAGCACGCCGCCGAGCATCCCTCGGGGAGCCGCTGCCCTAGGCTGCTGGCAGGGCGCAGCGCTTTCGGGTGCTTTCACGGCCGCGAGAGCTGGGAAGAAAGCAAACTGGCTGGAATGATGGGGATGTGCTTAACGATTCAAGTACTGGATCAAACTTAAAGGCAGTTTTCTCGCTCGGTATGCTGGAAAGGTCACCTTGCCTCGCTGGAGGAGAAACAAACTCTCAGCTCTGCTGCCCGCTGTTTAACAGCTTACATGTGCATTTTTTAATGTTCTTAGCTAGCGAGGCTATCTAGCTGTACAGATAAGTATACTCATGGTAGATGAGAAAGGAAAGAACATGAAATGTCTCACCTTCTTCTTGATGCTTCCAGAGACAGTCAAGAACAGGTCCAAGAAGAGCTCTAAGAAAGGAAATAGCAGCAGCAGCAGTAGTAGCAGCAAATTGCCTCCAGTTTGCTATGAAATCATTACCCTGAAGACCAAAAAGAAGAAGAAGATGGCTGCTGATATTTTTCCCCGAAAGAAACCAGCCAACACTAATACAACTGCTGTCCAGCAGTACCACCAGCAAAATCTCAACAACAACAACACTATTCCTGCACCAAACTGGCAAGGACTTTATCCAACCATCAGAGAGAGGTAAGTTCAGGACAGTTCATTTTTGTGTTTTGGATAGAGTGGTGAGAAGTCACAAAATGTGTACTTTTAGTTATTTATTAGCTGAGTAAAACACTGTTCTGTCTTTTTTTTTTTTCCTTGGTGTGTGAAAAATGTATTTGGGTAATGGAAAATATTTTGATAGCTCTTTTCCAGACAGTGCAGCTGTTTGTGTAAATAAAAAGTGTTGCTGCAAGCTGCAGCATACCCATAAAGATTCCCTTATAGACCTTAGGGGGAGTTTTCAGTGATACATGCTCTTGACTGATTGCTACCTTTTGAAAAGTTTTTGTAAGTTTGTGGTTTTTTTTATTGCTCCCCCCTCCCCAGCTTTGCTTTTTCCCAGTACACATGTGCACTGATGTGTAAAGTAGCTTCAAACTGTTTGTCCTGTTTCTCATTCTATTATTATACCACTTTAACATGTTCAGAAATTTGATTTCTTTAGTCCGGGGCAAGCGTGGAGTTACGAGGCACCATACATTAACACACTGCCTCTGTTCGTAGAAATGCAGTGATGTTCAACAACGACTTGATGGCAGATGTTCATTTTGTGGTCGGGCCACCAGGTGGGACCCAGCGGCTGCCAGGACACAAAGTAAGCAACAGCTGCGTTATCAGTTTTTGTGCGGGGGATAGCAGGAGAGCTCCCACGGTTATGCCAGGACATAGCAAGGGAGACTCGGCTCTTCTGACACAGGCATAGTTCTGTGTTTTCTGTGGCTTCGTGCAGTGGAATGCTGTCCCTTGTTTTTCTTTGTGGTATCTGAGGCAGTCATTGTAAAGTTAGGAGTACTGCTCGTGCTGTTGATTAATATTACTCTTGACACTGTCTAGAAATAGTTAACTTCTGTAGTGGATATGAGTTTTTTCCAGTAGCTAATGCATATATGCCCGTGAGAGTAAAATGAAGGGGAAAATGTGTAATTCTGTTTTTAACTTTGACTCCATTTCTTACTGAAGTGTGTCTATTGCCTGTCAGTGAAGCCTGGTATGTTCAGAGTGGCTCTCCCACATTGTTTTTGTTGGCAGTGCTTTCAGCTTAAAGCATGAAATAAGATTTCCCTTTCTCAACAGTATGTCCTGGCTGTTGGGAGCTCGGTATTCCACGCGATGTTTTACGGAGAGCTTGCAGAGGACAAAGATGAAATCCGTATACCAGATGTTGAGCCTGCTGCTTTTCTCGCAATGCTGAAGTAAGCATCGTTCATCTGCTGGGTATATTTTTGTTTATGATGTACACATGCTTTAACCGTGACATTACCAGTGTATTAGGCTTGCGTGTAAACAGAACGAAAGCAATTGCTTAAAATATTCCTCTTTTTGTGTTTCAAGTATTTCAAACTTTTACCTCGTGTTGGTCTCCCCCTCTACTTCCAGGCACGCATATATTAGGCTAATGTAGGCAGTTATAAATAATGACTTTGACAGGGGATCTTTGGGCACATTGTATACTGTAATGCCTATTGATTTGATTTGTCACCACACATTACACAAAGGAATGGAGTTACTAAAAAGAATTGTCAGCTGTAGAAAAAAAACAAAACAAAACAACAGAACACAACAGCACTGTTATACTTTGCAAGCACAGTGAAAAGTTAAAAAGAAAAACAAAAATCAGAATTGCTATGTTTGTAAATCGACGTAGTTCCAGCTCTTTTTAAACATGTTACATGTCTGTCTTATCTTAGAAAAATGACCGTAAATTACTGAAAATGAAATTGCACTGAAAATTAAATTTCCCCTCATCTGTTATATTGATGCATCTGGAAAGTGCTAAAAAGGCTGTTTACAAGAATAGGGTGGGTTTTACTCCAACTGTGTGTGTGTGGGGGTGAGAAGTCAGTTTACGTGATCATCATTTATCTAGGTCTTTGATTTATTCTTGCAAACTGCATAAGAAATGCTATCGTTTCCAAGTGAACACAATGAAGCGGTTTCCCTGCTGAGCTGTCCTCGAATGTATCTATAAACTCTGATTTTTAAAGAGAAATTCCCAATTGCAGAGCTGCTATGCCTCTGAGGGATTTTTCCCTTCAGCTTTAGTAACAGCTTTAGAGTATACGTTAGTATCCGATGGTAATCCTTTTAACGTGCTGTGGGGTTTATTGCATGTAATGGTATAATCACTAGCGAACCATTTATTATATTCCATAGATTGTTTTGCTAGCATGTGATTACAAAACGATTTCTTTTTTTTTTTTTTTCTTCTGTGTTTCCGTGGCACTGCAGAGGAGCAGTCAAAGTTACATACGGAGTTTGTTGCGTACCGGTTTTTATAGGTTATTCTGAATGCCAGAAATGTGCTGTGCAAATCACGATAACTGCAAGGAGACGCTGAAGTCACATAGATTTTGCATAGACCTGGAACATAGCACAAAGTTAGGGCATTATGTCGGTAGGTGCGTTGCAGATCCCTGCTTTGGGCCTTTCTGTTTTTGCAGATGTTTTCTGCAGAGCTCAGTCTTGGGCTTTACTTTTGTGCAGAATTTTACAAGGCACAAATGCAAGATACTCAGAGTCCTGTTCTACTTTCTTTTTGAACAGCAATTCTGTATCACTGTGACTAAATGTGAATGGCCATCTAAAAACTGAATGCTTTTTTAATTTATCATTGTCATGAAAATATACGTTCAGGGAGAAAACCTAGAAAAGAGAATATCAATACTGATAACCTAGTCTTGGCAAATTATTTAGCCCATGGCAATATGAGAAAATCTCTTGGAGAGCATGGCCAGAACCACGAAATTCATCACCCTGTAAGCTTTTGCTTAAAAAAGCAGAAGACCACGCAAAGTTTTTGTGTGGTCTTTGTGGATGTTGAGCTAACCTTCCTAGTGCCAACTGATGCAGTGTGTCTGAGCCTGCAGAGTGCTCCAGTGTCTGCGAACGCCAGGGCTGCCTGCAGCCGTGGTGGTGCAGGGATGGGGAAGGGATGTTGCAGCATTCCCCTCCTTGCACGATCCCGAGCATGTGCTGCACTGGGTGGAGCATGGGGGGAGCCTTGGCCCCCTTCACTCCTCGCCCCCAGGAAATCCTTCCCACGAGTGTCACCTGCAATTTTTGTGAGCAGTGGATGGTATAAAGGTCCTGATACTGATGCTAAAGAAATAAAAGACTTTTTGTCCATCCCAAAGCAGTCTTCTCCTTCATATGCTCCTTACCATAGTCAGGAAGGGACTCGTTATAATCTTTGTAAGAAAATATATTAATTTTTTCTTAGACAGTGAATTGTTAAATATTGTTTTGTGTTTTACTATATAGTGTGTGTACTTACAGTGAACATCGGACAAGGTATTGCAAGATGTAACATAGGAAAGATTGACTGGTAGATAGTAATTACTCTCCTAGTAAAATTGATTTTGCTATTCTCTATTGTTTTAAAAATAGGGTTAAGAGGTTGTTAAAATTCATAATCCTGCTGACACACCGAGTTGGTGTCGTTAATGCATTATGTCTTACCTTAATATTGACCATTGAAGTTAGAACTGCGGTCTCACTTTAACCTTGGATGAATGTGTTACTAAACCAACAACCTATGGTCTAGCAGAATCCTCTGTTTAAGAGTAGGGTGAGACTGGAATATCAGTAAATGTCAACCAGAATCGAGGTGCATTGGCAGAATGCAAAGTGTGGAATATTGCTGACAGCTGATCTGCGCTGTCTGTTGTAAATCAGTGATATTAGTTCCTCGCTTTCATGAATATTAAACTAGCAACTTCTGTACTATTTCAATTTAAAACAGATGTCATCATTCTCTGCTGTACTAGCAGGCAAAGAGAAGTAATAGAAGGGAAAACAGAGTTGGAGAGCAAAGAGGAGAATGATAAAACCCAACAAACTGAAAGCTTTTTGGGACAGTAAAGGACGTAAGGCCTAAGCCTTTGTTGTTGCAAATAGCCCAGTTGAAACCAAGTAATGAAGATGTGTTTAAAAAAAAGTGGGGGAGGGAGGGGTCTATGAGTATTCTGTTCTCTGTAGTCTCACATTTTATTATATTGCTTGGTCAGTCTGCTGCTCTGAGCACATTGTCTTGGTGTGGCTTGGAAGATAGCACCCTAAACCTGCAAAACATCCAAGTAAAGCTATCTGCAACAACAAACAACCTACTAAGTAGGTACTAGTTCCCCTTGATAAGCACGTTCTCTAGTGCCAGAAATGCATTGTGTTGGGAAACCTGCTAGCTAAAACACATTAATTAGTACAGGGTTGCATACAACTCCAACTTCACTGGAGGAAAATGTTTTTATCAACCATAACCATCAAGAATTGCTTATCCCTGTGAAGAGTAAAATTGCGTTTGACATGGTTTTAACACATCGCATTCACTAGCTGCAAATGGGTCCCTGAAGCATGAGATATTAAAAAGAACAAACTGTACAATGCTTCATTTCTCCAAGCAATGAATCCCAGCAGTTTAGTCACATAAATAGAATTTCACCTTCATCTCTTTCATGACACTAGCATGGCAGTAAAAAGCTTTTTTTTCTTTCTCCTTATGCACTGAGACTGAAACAATGCTGTGTTAGTGGAGCTAGGATGTTGTAAGCATTAATAAACCTGAAAATTAGTTTTCTGTGCCTTTTGCTTTTCCTCTGTTTCATTGCCTTGTTAAAATGCTAGTAATTACAAAGATGGGTACCACCTGATATGCTTTGATAGCATTTCTCTTCTGAGAGACTAGCTGGTTATTACCAATAAACTTGTTCTCGCTCTTGTATTTATATATACCTCAATGAATCATCATGAATTCACCATCTTGGGACATCCAGTCCGAGTACTATTTGTAGCACCTGTTCCAGACTATTGCCTTAGCCAAGTAAGGCAGTACTTGAGGAGCTTCCTCTTGAGGAGGATAGTTTGTCATTAGCCAGAGCACCTATGGGAGGAAAACAGATGGAGGGGGCCAAGCTTTGGAGATGCTACATTGTCTTATAGCATGTGCCCCAAATGTGAAATTTTATTCACCTTAGATTTAAGCATGTTCTCTCCCGTGGTCTTACATGAGTGGTGAATTTAGCTTGTGCTTTCCTTATGAATTTAATCAACGTTCCCCAAAAGCAGTGGTTAGTTTTCATGTGGAGCTATTTGAATATTCCTTGTTTGTAACTTTCAGATGTTGCTGACAAATGATCCTTGTGCATTCAGCAGCAGCATTACATGCTTGTGTTTCCTTTCAGATACATCTATTGTGATGAAATTGATTTGGCTGCAGACACCGTACTGGCCACTCTCTATGCTGCCAAGAAGTACATCGTCCCTCATCTTGCCCGTGCCTGCGTTAACTTTCTAGAAACAAGTCTAAGCGCAAAGAACGCCTGCGTGCTGCTGTCCCAGAGCTGCCTGTTTGAGGAACCTGACCTGACCCAGCGCTGTTGGGAAGTGATTGATGCCCAAGCCGAGCTAGCTTTGAAGTCTGAGGGCTTCTGTGACATTGATTTTCAGACGCTTGAAAGCATTCTCCGAAGGGAGACTCTGAATGCCAAAGAAATTGTGGTTTTCGAAGCGGCTCTGAACTGGGCCGAAGTGGAGTGTCAGCGACAGGAGCTGACGGCTACCATAGAGAACAAGCGCAAAGTCCTGGGCAAGGCTCTGTACTTGATTCGCATCCCCACCATGGCACTCGACGACTTTGCGAATGGCGCTGCTCAGTCTGGGATTCTGACCCTCAACGAGACCAATGATATCTTCCTTTGGTACACGGCTGCCAAAAAGCCAGAGTTGCAGTTTGTCAGCAAGCCCCGGAAAGGGCTCGTTCCTCAGCGGTGCCACCGCTTCCAGTCCTGTGCTTACCGCAGCAACCAGTGGCGCTACAGGGGCCGGTGTGACAGCATCCAGTTTGCTGTTGATAAAAGAGTGTTTATCGCTGGCTTCGGGCTGTACGGCTCCAGCTGCGGATCAGCAGAGTACAGCGCCAAGATTGAACTCAAACGGCAAGGAGTTATCCTAGGCCAGAACTTGAGTAAATATTTCTCAGATGGTTCTAGTAACACTTTTCCCGTGTGGTTTGAATATCCAGTGCAGATTGAGCCTGACACCTTCTACACAGCTAGTGTGATTCTGGATGGTAATGAACTCAGCTACTTTGGACAGGAAGGAATGACAGAAGTTCAGTGTGGGAAAGTGACTGTGCAGTTTCAATGCTCTTCGGACAGTACAAATGGCACTGGGGTACAGGGGGGGCAGATTCCCGAACTGATATTTTATGCTTGAATGGAAGTGTGTGGAGACAAAAGCATTTTCCTAGGAAGAACCTGCCTGGTTCAGACCTACCGATGCTTAGCTTTCTGTCTGCAGATACGTGACCAGTACAGGTAATATGTCACAAACGCTGTGGGCAAGTTACTGGCTTGCCATACTTGTAGCATTGTTGGTGATAAAGTTTAAATGTAATATTCAACTTCAAACTGGAAGCTCTTTGGGAACACATAAATGTTAAAGGCTTTGTAAGAGAGGTGCCTGTTTGCTGGTGATGCTGATCCTTGCTTTGATGCATCTGTGAATCACCAGAGGATGCCCCCCTCTTGTATCTCATGGATTCTAGGACTCCTTCCACTAAACACTGTCTCTGTTGATCAGTTTTCTTTCTCCATTTCCTCCTCTCTGCTTGTAATTATTAGGGGAGATAGGGATAGAAAATGAAAAGCCTTGTTTTATAGTTCTCTTCTGTCTGCTCTTCAAACTTGAGAGATTCCAATATGCTGAGCCGCTTTTAATCGTGGGAGCTGAAAGAAGTGCTTCAATTGTACACCGAAAAAAATATAGGTTTATACCTTCATCCTGTGAGATTCTTCTGTGGCCAGCTGTTGGGATGGTTGCAGGGGAAGAGGAGACAGTAAGCAGTTTTCAGGAAGCCACGCAGCGTGCTGACCACAGTGCATGGACATGTTTACAGTGAGGAGGGATCTGGGCTTGGCAGCTTACCCTCAGAGTTCATCTAGGAAACCCACCTACAAGGCAAGGAAGTACTTGAACATGTTCAAATTGTACATGCAGGTTTAAGCCTCTACTCCCATGACCTAATTTTGCTACGTTGTAGTTGATTTCCTATTTAAATAGATTTTCTTTGAACCCACACAGAATAAATGGGGGGTTAATATCTAGAATTCAATACAGGACAGTTCTGTTTGATTTCGGTTTTGTTCTTATTACTTCCTCCTAAATGTTACAGAGACAGATTGTAGAGGAACAAAAGAATGTACCAATCCTGACTTGGACTTTTTTTCCTGTAATACGAGCTTTTTTCTTTTTATAACCATACATTATCAGTGGAATTTAGACAAAGACAAGAAGATTCCCAACTGTGATCATGTTACAGTTAGCCTATATCATCAGATAAAAGTAAGGAGGAGAAAGTCTTCTCTAATGTGCTAATGGTGTATCTCTTGCAACTGCCTGTATTTAAACATCAATCAGGGGATTATGCAGTGTGGAACCTTTCCCTTATCTGAATTCTTTCTCAAGCTTCCTGTCATATGTCTGCATCGTTTCTGGAAAAGTATTAGGGATCACAACTCTATCAGGGAAGGAAATCAGTGTAAATGAGAGGTACAGGTACTATTTAAACATGAGAAAATCTTTCAGCCTTGCATTGTGACAGTTGCATCTCGAAGGGACACTACCTACTGTAATGCATCTCATTCTTATTTCATCTCTGAAGTGGGTTCTTTTTGTTGTGTATGTTTTAAGAAAATGAGATGACCAAATGATTCTCTAGACAGTCTCAAGGTTAATGTTATATCAACACATTAATGTAGCATAACCCTATATTCACTTGTCAGTTTTATAATAAAAATGTTTTCCCATATGATCTCTTACCAGTTCGATACTATTACTTTTAAGTGTTTCCTGACAGTTGAAACCCTGGCCTTTGGCCATCATAAAGTGCCAATACATCTTTGCAGTGTCCAAAACACCATCCAAGGTAAGGAAAACAGGAGTATAGACATCAAATACATTATGGCCAAAGCTCAGCTCTTCCCTCTAGGTAATAAAGGAGAGCCAGATGAAGAGCTGCCTACAAGTTCTATGCTTTTCACCCATCTTAGTGTTTAATGTTTTATATACATACATACATACATATATGTGTGTGTGTATGTGTGAGCAGCATTCTCTCTGAAATGTAAATACCCTCAAAATACATAGAAAATGTTTTGGCTTTTTTTTTTTTTTTTTTTTTTGCAACAGATGTACATAATCCAGACTGTTAGTGAAATCTAAACAGAATGCTCCATGGAAAACTCCCAGAGAGATTTAAAAAAAAAATCCCCAGTTAATTATATTTAGATGCGCAGCCTAAATTAAACAAGAATACAGTTGTATGGACTGGAGGAAGAGTTGAAGAGACTGCAGAAAAGAATCTAAGATTGTTGAGAAGTATCGGTCATCTACTTGTAGACAACGTTTTGAGCAGCAGTTTCATTTACTTCAATACATTTGGAAGCAGAGCAAGACGCTAATCAGCTGATTAAGTTTTCTTACAGCAAGAGGTTGACATAGATGTAATCATTCCGAGTGATTATCAGACTGACAAGTTGCTTGCAGAAGCAAGCTGCATTCTGAGTTGTTCGGGGGGAAGAAGGAGGTGCCTCAGCTGGTGGGACAAATCAGTGCTGCACTGGTAGAGCTAAACTGGTTCTCTTTTTTTTTTTTTTTTTTTTTTTTGTTTATCTGCAAATAAATGTAAGCTATCTGCTACAGTGGCTGGAAGAGATAGTTAGGAGATCAGAATACTGTATAGCTGTAATATGTAGAAAATGAGCTATTATTTAATTATTTTTATTTGCTGGTTTTGTTAAATATTTTTGACAAAGCAGGATCAAAGCTACCTATAGCTTAATTCCTCTGAGTCCTTTCCAGGCTTTAGGAGCTGCTGCATGTAATTTTTTATTTTTTTGTTTAATGTGGATGAATAAATAATGGACCACAGAACACTTTTTGATGCCTACAGCGCAGCTTGATTCTGAGCCCTGCTTGATGCTAACAGGTACTGCTGTACGAGAAGGTGACTACTTCCAGTCACCTTAGACATCAAGGCACTTAAATAGGTGTCCAGGTGTGAATTTGGTCAGTTTAGCAGTAGTATCCGAGCTTGAACGCATCAATACGGCTGATGCTTGCAGAACATCAACCTGGCATGTAAGCATAATGTCAATACAGAGAATTTCCTAGGTTGCCTTGAGCTGTACCTGGCCACCTCTGCTAATTGTATGTTTGATTTTCCTGGTGATGGGAATCTGTGATAGAGAGTATAATGTAATATACTTTCTGCATATCTAAAATAGTATTTAAGTAAGCATTTTAATTTCTGCATACATATTGCACTGAACTGTTGTTTAGTTTTTGTTTTTGTTTGGTAATTAAATACAGCTAACTTCAGATCACAGCGCTCATTTGTGCTGGAGCAGTGTTTGACCTTAGCAGGCTTACAGCATTATTTATAAAGGACAGATATATAAATATGAAGTACCTCATGTTGAATGTTATTGTACTGTATCTTTAATGTCACAGTGCAGATCTTGTTGGACTCATGAATGTGTATAATCGCGTTAAACATACAAATAAAAATGGTTCTTAAATGGTTGCTTCCTGCAGTACCTTTGAAGTACAAGCTGTGAAAGCCTTTACTTAGCTATCTTTTAGCGATTTCTATTGTACAGTTGGGCACAGATATTTGTTGAGCTTATGTATTCAGAGATCTTTTGATCCCCAAAGAAGTAAAAGTCTAAGGAAAAACAAGGAAGAACAATGAAAATGTTAATCAGTTACATTGTAAAAAGGTTGACGATTAAGCTAATGAGCTAGAGTGAATGAATTCATTTATGTGCTTTATGAAAGACCTTGTCTGCTGGCATTAATATTTTAATGCTCTATTAATAATATTAAGTATGTGGAGATGAAGGGGGAGGGTCTGGAGTTTGTTCTAAAAGACAGTTGGCACAGGAAAGGCCGTAGTTTTCAGTCTCTGATCTGTAAGAATAAAGGACATGGCTCCTGCAAAGGGGCTGTTCTCTGCTGAGAAGTTAATTATGTCACGTTAGTCAGAATTCAGATTGTTTTCTTAACAATTTTCATCCAGCAGATTTGAGTCTTCATTTGAACTTTTATTACCAGTGAAGCTGAAGCCCCACTTCCTTGATGTCCATGTCCAGAACCTCTCATGTATTATCAGCTAGTTACAAAAAATACTCCACAGCGCTATATGGAGTCATGGAAATTTGAGTCTTAATTTAGTCTTCCCAAATAAAAACAGTAACTTCAGGCTTCATCTAAAATTCTGCTTAAAGTATGTTTACAGGCATCAAGCTTGCCTCTTTTGGTAAGATTTCCTAAAATTCTTGCTGCTGTACTTAATACTACACTGCTGTATACGTGATCTAAATTCCCTCGTGTCCAGTGCTTCTCATTGATTTGGAAAAGGCTTCAAAAAGGAACTGTTCGTGTAGTTCTGTACTAATAATACAAGCTCTTAAATGTGTGGTAGGTAGCATTGTGGTTTGGTGCAGGGCCACATCTGCAGCAGTCCAGCTAGTTATGTTACAGGAGACAGGTCGTTCTTTATTCAGCTTGTCCACTTTATTTATCAGAGAAACTGAGGCTGCAAGCAGTACCTATCTTATCCAAAGGAACATTCTCCATTTCTGGCTGAAACCTAAGAGAAGAAGCGGCTAGGACACTTGCTTTGGAAATTGCTGCTAACGTGGCAGTCTCTTGCTCTGTGTTCACTGATGCAAGGAAGTGATGGTGTAATCACAGCAGAAGGAACGGAGTTTGAAGTGACAAGGAGAAAAATGGAGTGTTTCAGGATTTGGGAGGAAGACGACTGCAAAAGCTGGATTCAAGCTTTGTCACAGATAAAATCTGGACTAAGTGGGGCTCTATTCCTTTTAGTTGGAAATTCCTGAGGAGCTGACAGCCACCACCTCTCAGGAAGACAAGGCCCCACCTGCACCAGGCTGCATGTGAGTGCTCAGCTCTCAGGTACAGGATCCCAGGATTTCTTGGCCTCTGAGAGTCAAGACACCTTGTCAGTGGCCCACAGCGAGCCCGTACCTCCTCAGGACAGCCAGTTGGTCCTGCTGTAAGCAGGAGGGTCTTGTTGGACCTCCCTGGCGCAGCACTCAGTGGAAGCCAAGGCCACGGAGCCAGCTCCTGGCACAGGAGTGGGATAGGGACTTCAGCCCGTCTCAGCAGTAGCTGGCCCCTGAAAAGCAGCAGCTTTTAAGCCAGCCTGTTCTACCGTGCCTTCAAGCAATCAGTGGGAGCACAAATACCTGCTGATTTCCTGAAGGCAATGAAAAGAGCTGTTTTCTCAAACATGGCAGTGTAACTGTGTTCAAAATAAAATTACAAAAAAGGCTTTTTGGCTTGCTGCTCCATTTTCAGATGTCTGTTTTTGTGTTTTTGTGTTTTTTTGGTTTTTTTTTTTTTTTTCTCCCTAAGACTTGCCCGCAAAGTGGGACCCTGAGATCAGTAGGCATTGCCCTAGAGACCTCAATGAACCCAGGATTTTCATTTGCAGTGCTCAATTTGCGTGATTATTCCCAAAGAACTACACAAGAAATGGAAATTAATTTTGAAATCACACTGTAATCTGATTATCTAAAATATAGGTAGAAACATTTCTATCAAATCTTATCAAAAGTCCTGCTCATCAGATTTCTGTGCCCCTGCCAAAGCCTTCATACTAATATGAAATGCTTTATCTTCAGTCATGAGTCTATAGGCAGAACAGTAAACCTGTTTTGAGCTTTGATGTAGATTTTTGCAATCTGCAGTGTGGAATTCATAGCACATAAGATACCTAGATGGCTAAAGTATTTTAAGATAAGAAGGTGTGTAAATTGCCCACAGTCTCTCTGGAATGAAGGAATAACAAAAACATGTTTTGGTTGTAGGCACTTACTTTGAAAGAGATTCCTGAGGTCTGCTGGGCTTGTGGATAGCATCAGAAATGCATTTATATTAAGCCCCTAATTGTAGCATTTTATAACTAAATTTCTAATTGTTTTCTGTAGACAAAGATAACGTAGTTTTCCTTTGGGAATCCTCTGTCCCTGTCCAATTGGGCTTATGTTTGAACATATATTTGCAAATGCAATTTTCTAGATCTCCTTTTGAAGCCTCACAGCCGCATTAAGTGCTGCTTGTGGAGCAGCAGTGCTTTGAGACCAGCCCTGGCTGTTTTCAGTCTAACAGTGAAAAACGATGTGCGTAGGGGGATTTCTTCAGAGATGATGTTGCAGATGAGTAGGGAGGAAGAGTTTCCATTTTCCTGAAGGAAAGAGACACCTGGTTTTGCCTCATGCTGATGGCCACCACCTGCTGAGCATCACATCCAACAATTCAGCAGCCAGGTAGGCATGAAATGCAATGGGACACCGCTGCACAAAGGCACCAGTGGGAACTCCCGCTTGCAAGGTTCTTTCAGGTGAGTTTACCTAATGAGCTGATGATCCCAAATGAAGAAAGATCCCATATCTTAATGTCCCCAGTGACAGAGTGCTCCAGCTCGGCTGCAGAACGGTGCGTGACTGTGACTTTTCACTACTGCGACTCCCACATTGCATTTTATTGTTATTCCAAGGGGGTCTCCATCTCTCCTCTGCTCTGTGTCACACATCCCTGCATGCACCAAGCCCACACAGTGCTCGTGTGCTGAGACGGAGAGGTCTGGGAGCACCTTTTGGAAAGGGCCGGCCGAGAAGCTGGGACAGCCCAGTGCCCCGTGGGCTGCCTGCGTGCCCTCCTGGGTGTGCCGAACGCTGACCCGGGGTGGCAGGAGAGGGCAAGGCAACTGTTCCCTGTGTAAATGTAAATACACGTATTGCGGTGTTTGCCAGCCTCTCTTTCTCCAGCCAGTTGTTGGTTCTTAAAAGGGAAAAGGAACATAAATTCACCATTTATTTATTTATTTATTTATTTATTTATTTTGGTAAGCCATGAGGATTGTGATTCTGACACAGCGAATGTATGCTTCAGTCTTTACAAAGTCAACAGCCCCAGTGCGCTTGGGCGCTGGGAGACAGGACTCATATCTACCTTAAAAGTGAGCATGGAAACATCTCCTTTCTTCTCTAATGCCTTGTTCTTATGAAGATGTCATGCAGTAAAATAAACTCTTACAGAGCTGGGACCTGACATGTTTGGCTTGTTTCTGTAGCACGATTTTATTTATTTATTTGTTTATTTTTGTGAATAAAGGAACCAAGTATTTAGCATTTCGCTTAGAGATACTAAACTGCAGAACTGCAAGAGCATGGGGACAGCACAATATTAAAGCACTTGCAGGTGTAAGGCTATTGCCCTCTGCTTGTGTTGTTGAGCTGAGGTGTGACATGTTCCTGCTTCTCTTCCTACCCAGCAGGGCATGCCAGTAGTGGGACCCACATCAGCACCGTCAGCACTTAGGGAGGAGGGATGCAGAGGGAGAGAAATGAAGCTCAAAGAGCTGGAATAAGGAGGAAATGTATCTAATCAGAAATAAAAGCCCTCATCAGGCACAGACAATAGAGGATAAACGGGCTTCGGGAGAACTGTTCAGGCATCACAGGAGCCAAATCAACAGCCATCAGGTAGGAATACAGTCATGTCAACTACTTAAATCATTCCCAAAAGCTGCTTATGCTTGAGACCTCCCTAGACACTACAAAGGAAGAAATTGTTTTGCTGCCTTAGAAAAAAGACCATACATATTTTTCCCTTTTTCCTCCATGCTTCATATAGGAGTTTCCTTACAATGTATGCTACAGAAACTGTTTTTCCTCAGTGCCAGGGTACAAGCAGGCTGGCTGACCCTGCCAGGCAAATAATTCTCAAATATAAGCTGTAACTGGTGTACCAAACATGCTCCTTCACCCCTCTGCACACAGAGGCTGTTGGCTTGTAATCAGATGGCAGAGAGCTGACGGAGGCCCCAGACACATTTGGGAGAGGGAGCTTTCCCTGCACCCGCACTGTGTGCCCGAGAATGGCAGTAGCAGGGTGCTGTGCTCTTACCAGACACTCACACCAGTTTCATGTGAACCAGGCATGCTCTCAACGTGCCTTTCTGTCAGGTTAGCTGGGACATGGGACGACTGTTGTGAGCTCTGGGCTCTCTGTGTCACTTTGCTGCCAGCTACGGGGGGGCTGGATGAGCCCAGAACCAGCAAAAAACCTGCTGATGTTGTGAGCAAATATGAGCTAGAGTGAGTTCATACTGGGTCAGTGTTTCATGGCATTTCTGAGCTAGTGTTAGGAGCTTTAAAAATCATTGCAGTGCAGCATGAGATACCTAAAAGTTGGGGTTCCTCCCAGCTCCAACAGAGCCAGACACAAAGCTCAAACGTTGCTCCAGCTGTCCCAGCCATTTGTCCAAGAGCTAGGACATGCTCATTTGCAGATGTGGGGAGGTAGCACTAACATTTATGATATTCACTAGAGCACCCAAGCCTTGTGGCCAGGATCAGAGCTGACTGCCCAGAGAAATGCCAACCCCACCTCTCATTTCCTGCATTTCCCCTGGTGGTGATGGTGATCACAGGTACCACGAGCTCAGGGGCACTCAGAAGTGGCAGAGGCTTAAAACTGAATACCAGAGCTGTAGAGGAGGGCCATGGTAAGTAAAATCAGCTGAAAAGATTGCATGGTTCTGATTCCTGCCTAACAATTTTCAATAATGCAGCTTGTGGTCAGTGGCTGGAGGTGGATTTTCACGTAATAAAACACAATGCCCAGCACCAGCAGCACTGAGAGCAAACAGCGACTGTTTCCCACCTAGGGAAGCTGGCATTCAGCACTCTGTGTCTGCCTTTGCAAGAAAATAAAGGAGTTTTTCATCAGAACCACAAAAAAAGTGAAGTTAATTGAGCTATGGTGAGTGTGACAATCTAGGAGCAGCCTCACAAATGAAATTTGGAGCTATGCAACACAGGAAGGAACTAGCACATTCGGTTACAGTCGGAGTGATGAATTAGTAAGGATACCCTATCCATAATTTCAGTGAGTTGGGACAGACAGGTAGGAGACAGGACAATGTGCACAGAAAAAGCACTATTCACATAGGCCAAGATCCAGGGACTTCAAAGGGGGAAAAAAAAAGTCAGCCAAGTTAAGGGAAAAGAAATCTTGTACCCTTGGTTTCTGCCATTTGTCATGCTGCTCGAGTGATTGTGTAGATGATGCACTTTTGCTGAGCTCCTGTTAGGACACCGTAGTTAGAGAAATGAATTGCCCCAGAAGGCCAGAATGAGGTCTTTCAAAGGTCATTATTAGAACTGGTTTCTCATCAATACACTACTTGATTGGAGGAAAAGACTCAAAATTGCAGGGCTTTGATTGCTGAGGGGGAAGCTTTCAACTGCTTCCCGCTGTTCTGTCATTTTGTGCTAACCTCCAACGGCCCTGTTAAATTGATGTCCTGTTTCACATTCACTGCCCACAAATCACTCTTCTCCCGTTAATATAGGAAACAGTCACACATGATAGAGATTGGAGTGGCTAAACACGAAAGCCAGTGAAGAGCTCAAAAGCATTTCCTTACTGATCAAGGTGCTGATTCCCCCCCAGAGCACTTCACAACATTCACTTGTGAACTTCGTTCAGGAAATACAGAGCCTCACATCTGCCTTAAGAGACTCTTTTGCACAAATACTGCTCCCAAACAGTGCAACGTGAGGGGGATTTCTGTGAGGTAGCTAATTTATTGCAGCTAATTGGAAGGAAAAAAAAAAAAAAAAGGCTAGGAGCGTTGCAGCTGTTCAGGCAATGAGGTGTCATCGCTGACACTGCGTGCCTCTGAGTACTGCTGCTGTGGGCTAGGTCAGCACTGAAAACAGCCCTGTTTTCTCAGGACAGCCATCCCATGAGAGGGTGCCTGGAGCCAGGAAGCTCTTAGGCCTCAAGAGATGCTACTAGACAAAGCTCAGAAAGGCTGTGGGGTTATTTCTGTTTGGTTTTGGTTTGTTTGTTTTGTTTTTATTATTTTTTTTAATGGGTTTCTGAGCTCACACAATCTCAGAGATTTGCACATACCCAGAATTGAGTTGCCCTGCCACTGATGGTGTTTTTCTGAAGGCCACTTTTGTTGCCAGATTAAACTAAAAGCAGACTGGGCATGGAGAGCCCTGCTGAGCCCATCTATCCCTGCTTTGATGCAGAGGTCTGCCAGCGGCAGAGGGAGGGATAGACAACTGGAAATCCTAAAACAAGAGTGGGTTATCCAGGAATACCCTTAATAAAGGTCTTAAAAGGCTTCAGCACTACTGGAGAGGACAGAGTGAGTGAGCACCTTGCAATCTATAGCATTTGTTTTGAGCAAACTAGAAAAATCAGTCCATTTTCCACTGGCCAGCAAATGTTGCTGTTTTCCTTGATTCCTCCATGTGTTTCCCCCGCTGCAAAAACTGGAGGACAAAACTGAGTGCCTCTGCAAAGCGCCTTTGTATCTGCTGATCAAAACTGCTTGGTTTTGGCAGCAGGTATCAGGACAATTGCCCCAAAGCCCCACTCTCCTCAGGCAGCCCAGCCCGCAGGCAGGCTTTGTCACCAAAAGATCCCCTTACTGTCCCCAGATCGAAAGGAGGAGCACTGCTGAAAATCAGCATGAGGGTGACCTCGGATATAAATCCTTCCTAAAATCTTTGTAAGCCTCCACTGCTTTAGTTCCAGCAGTTCTGCCCATGACAATGAACTGCCAGCCAAAAGGTAAATAGAAATGCAAAATATCCCCTAAGCAAACACGTTACTGTCTTTTAAAACAAGTCCATTTAAATAATGGGAAAATATATTAAAGAAACAGAATCTATTCGGGTTTATGTTTAAAGATGAATTAATGCAAATATCACAGGTTTATCCTGAGTTGCTCCCTTGAGAGGATTCACTGGGGAAGCAATTTGTTTCTTTTTAGCTAAGACAGGAAGCTTTGAAGTTAGCGAGTTGTCTGTCTCTGCGAGTAGCCCATTTAATCTGAAGGAAAAGTGTCAAATCCAAGTTGGAGTTGTTAACCACTTGTGTGTCTGTGCATTGTTGGAAGCACTGGCAAGAAGTCTTTGGCAAGCCAGCGACTGGCAGTACTAAGAAGGCTGGAAATGGCACAAAGAATTTCTGGGGGAAAATAATAATAATAATTATTATATATATATAATATATATATATATAGGCTATTAACATATTTTTTTTTTTTCCAGAGACAGTCTCCACAGTTTTGGGGACATTTGCCTGCTCCATCTCCCCTGGCACTACTTACTGCTCCTTTAGCTGTGCTCATGAACGTGTTTCTGGAGCTTTGCTGTAACTAGACTAGGTAAATGACCTTGGTTTAATTTCTTTTACTTTTAGCTTGGAATATTTTTGCTGATTTCATGTGTAGGATTGCCCCGTGATGGGCTTGCTGGCACACCTGGGTGGGCGATGAGTTGTGACCAGTCGGGTGATGGAAGCAGGTGCCTCTTGCAGGCTGTTTCCCTGCACAGAAAATTTTAAAAGCTGTTGTCTGAAACTGCCACGGGATTCATGTCAGACTCTGCCTTCATCCCAGAACTGTTCTTCTGAAGCCAATTTTTCCACTCTTTAGTTACAAACCAGACCCTCAGCTATCAATCAGCACAGCTTCACTGAGCTGGGTTCCACGAGCTCTGCATGGTGTCAGCTTTTAGCCCGGAGACACCAGCCTTGGGGCATCAGCTGCAAAGAAAACCTCTGCAGTGTGAGTAGCCTGTAAAGCAATCCAGGGAGGTCAGCATGCATCTGAAGACAGCTCAAAACAATAACCAGAGGGGGAATATAAACTGTTTACTGCACTTGGATTTGCACTGAAATCTACTGATGCAAAATTCATAGCCAGCATGAATTAATTCACTCCTGATCATTTCCCATAAAAACTCCAGCTTCTACTCCCCTCCCCTAATGACTTCTGCTCAACAGCTGTGGACTTTGCAAACTGAAATGCAGTGGATGTTAACATTTCAAAACAGCGCTAAAAACAGTGAACTGAATTGTCTTTGAAATTTTAAAGTTGCTCCCAGTTATACCAAATTAAACTTGTGATGTTCTTTATGTGCTATACTTAATCGCTGAGCATCTTTCATCTCATTATCACCCGCGTGTGAGGGAGATGCATCATCCCTCTTTTGCAGATGCAAAAAAAGAAACACAACATCTGAGAGAGTCCTGGAAATTGCTCTGATCAGTAGCATGGGCTACATCACAAGAAGGCCCTCTCCTTTTCACGGTAGCTGAATCAGCTGCAAGATCTCAGGTTGGTTTCCCCAGCGTGCTGCAGAATTTAGGTCAAGTTCCCACTGGGGAACCAAGCAATGAGATGTGCGAAGCTGCTCCTGCTTTGCAGCAGCTCCTTGGCTGGAGAGGAGAGCTGGGTGCTGCTGTTTAAGATGTTGTTGTCCCTGTTCCTCCTCTGGAGGGTGAGCTGAGGGCTGCAGTCGAGTTAATGGCCTCAACAAATGCATGGTAAAGTCAGTTTATGTAATGACCTGGAATTTATATCTTTGCTCATGAAACAGGAGCTAGTGGCTGTTCTAATGACTAGTGTGCAGTGTAAATACCATCCTGAGCTGGTCTTTCCTCAGACAGTCCACGCAAACGCTGCTGAAGTCAAGGAGAGCTGGGCTGCTATCCAAGGACAGAGGCTGGTTGCTTGTGTGCTTAGGATACACCGAAAGCATTAGGAATGGGATGTGAGAACAGAAGAGTAAATAAGCATGCTTACTGCATCGGGAAGGGCTGCCTTGCAGACAGGTAGCTGCAAAAGGACTAGTCAAGGACTGCACTCATTTGCCTCTCCCAAAATCACAGGCTCACCTGCCCTCTCTCCCCCCATCAGCTCAGGAGCCCTGGGATACCCCTCAAAAGGGCAACTCTATAGCAAGGAGGTGTAGTCGCATGTGCTGCGTTGAAAAGATTCCTCAACTGAAGAGCTAATGGCATGACTGGAGATATTTGAGTACAGACTTGTAGTAAGGGGAAAAAAAAAAATCTGCTGTAACAATATTTGTATTTCCATGCTTCTGTAGTTGAAAAGAACCCAGATTATATGTTCATAATGTTTGCTGGAGAAGCCTCTAAGTCAAGTCAGAAGGAAATGAGGTAAAAAGATGTTTTACTGATTTCTTTTTTTTTTTTTTTTCCCTTGAAGTCTGCTTTGCTTTATAAGCTTATGTAAGCAGCTGGTGTAGCAGAGGATCCTGGCTCTAAACTCTCACTGTGGTGTGGCTTCTCTGGTAGCAGCAGCTTTCAGTGCAACGAGCTGCAGGAGGAGCAGCTGGGTTCACCCCTGGATTCTGGCAAGCTGCAAGGAAATCCATCACACCTGGCTGCAAACCTGTGAGGGCGGGGAGGGGAAAGCAGGGATTTCAGTGGCTCCGTGCTTGTGTGCAGGACGTGAGCAAAGCTGGTTGCAGGGAATCAGTGCAGAGGAATACCTGCAGAATGCACGGATAAAGTTGAAGAGGATACGTAATGCCCTTGCAGAATCTTAATATTCCAGAAATAGGGTACCAGGTATAAAGTAAGTAATGGGGCTGGTTAGCAAAGCCTTGGATTATGGGAGCTAACGCAAACTGACCCTAACTGGTGTCTACTTCAGGGTTAGAAATGTGTATGAATTTTGTGGCTGCAGTTTACCCTGCAATAGTTAGAGAGCTGTTATATTAATAGTATAAACCAGGCACTGTGCAAACTGGGTGGGAAAAGAGAGCTTGTTTCTCTTGGCTAGAAGAGATCCCTCAAGAAGTGAGATTGCAGGAGCTGTGAGGGGAAGAAAAGGGTGGCACAGGGCCACGGAGTTAGCTGAAGTAGCACCTTCTGTGAGTAAGGCCTTCCCAGCAGAATTAAAAATTCATCAGGTCTAGGACCTTAATAAGTGATTTCGAAAGGAGATGTGGCAAAAAGTGCTCAGCAGTGCAGGCAGATCCTGCTGGCCCAAGTGGCTGAAAGCCAGGAGCAGGGAGAGAGTGAGTCCGCACTTCTGCAGGGAAGTTATAAATAAAGGAGCAGTGGGAAAAAGAAGGGGTAAGTCGTGAAGCAGCCGGAATTTGTTTAATGTTTCTCAAGATTTAAAGCTAATCATAAGCTAAGTTGACACTCGTGGTTCCTCCTCCCACCCCACACCTCCAGGATCTCCTAATTTACAGCGGACTAGGCTCCTGTGCTTTTCATGAGCGTGATGTACGTGAAAGGAGCAGCCTAATACCTCAGCTGCTCCAGGAGCCTGACAGTGTTTTCTCACTGCTTCTCCCTCTAATAAATCAAAGTGTTCAAATCAACGGACTGCCCAGCCAATAAGAGTCCTATGGTAGGGAACAGCGACTGTTTATGCATTTTTACAGCCATGAATCTCCTGGATGGCATTCCTGTTGACTGGAATGCCTCGCAGCAGTTACATAATTGCAAGCAAAAATTTCACTCTTTTTGCCAAATTGCTGAACCAGAAGGGTTTGCTTGCTAAAGGACCAGAGGGAAGAAACTAGAAGGGAGACTCAAAGGGAAGAGGCTGTATAAACTCTTGGGCTGTGATCAGCATTTTGATCATTTTAGGAATTTGTCAAGGGGAGAAGAGGGAGTTGTGTGGAGAGAGATGGGTGAATAATTAACAGTGTGTGATTTAGTCAATTAATTTTGCTGATTGAGAACTATCTGCAGAGGGGTTTGTGTGTATATCAAATGTTACTCAATAGCTCTTTTCTGTAAATAGATTTTGGGTCATAGCTTTATCCTGAGGAGTTCATTTGGGTATTTGATAATTAAATACTGAGGAAGAAGTGAGAGTACTAGCACATGAAAAGGAAATCACGGAAATGGTGCATGTGTAGTCTCATTGATTTCTGAAGGCATGAGATAGGGAAAGTTCGTTTGATTTGATCTTTCATCTCTCTCTCTAGCCTCTGGAGAAGTCACCTCAAGTCTTGAGAGCAGTGAAATCTGAGGCATTTGGAGTGAATTACCCAGTCCTATCGTATATTTGTCTTGCATGAACCCAGCTGTAGGGGAGCTGAGTACCTGTTTGCCTGCACACGGTGATGGGTATGCAACACTCATCTGCAAATCTTGTGCAGACAACTGAGCCTATTTCATTAACTTATTACTACTCTCACTCTTACCTGCCTCCTACCCCTTCATTAAAGTGATGTACTCCTTCTAGACTGCATTAGAAATTATTTAAAAAGGGGCAGTTTTCCATAAAATATTTGCAATGGAGCCTAGGCATCATTATTGCAAGATCTTAGTAACAATAGTATTAACTTCCACGGCTCTGAGGAAGACACAGGTGTTCTTTAACCTCCCCTCCTTGTGTAACCTTGAGCAGATAATTGCTTAGAGAAGTTTTATTATCCCTATTTTACTAAAACCCATCTGAATTATTAAAAAAACCACTCTTGGTCACAGACAAAAGTCTCAGATTCATGCATCCCAAAATCTGTATTGGGAGTGAGGAGAATTCTTGCTGTGAGGGTCTGAGTACAGCACGCCGCCCATGGAGCTGGTGTCATAGCAAAGTACAGAACGCAGCGCACTGCAGATGCTGCTGCTGAAGTAAAACTGCAAGGAAAAAAAAAAAAAAGGTATGAAAACATGATGTTTATGTGAAAATCTTTACTGGACAAAATGTGGATTTTGTGTAGCAACCTCAGCAGCTTTGCAACTTTTTTTTTGTACCAAGTCATTTGCATTTCACCTGTTTAATTTAAATTGGTATCCACAAGTTATCCCCTCCTTTTTTTTTTTTTTTTTTTTTTTGGGGGGGGGGGGGGGAACACTAATTTTGTATTGCCAGGTAGTTTTCTCCTGTGAAGTTCCCACTCCAAGTAGTACAACTGGCCTTTCAGATAACTCTGCTTGGCTTCTGTGCATGTGTTTGCAGCTCACAAACAGATTGCTAATGCTCTTTTTTTGTTTGTTTCAGTGCTTTCACTTAGTGGGTGACACTCCCGACAGTTTGATTACTTGGAATTTAAGGTGAAAATGCCCAGCCAGAGAGATCAAGTCAAGATAGAGAAAAATGAGGAGCACGTTAAAATAAGAAAATTGGACTTTTTGTGAAGAACACAATTGCTTGTTCATATGTTGCTGAAATGTGAAGGTACTGTTAATAACTCTCTGAACCTCAGCTTTTTTAATTATCTTTGTATTTGCCACCTAGGATCATGAGGTAGGGACTTGTGGCTGCAGTGTGTGCAACAGACAAAATCAAAGCTGCTTGACGCAGCATCAACAGTTTGTGGCACTGAAGTTTCATGCAGCCATTGCTAAATCTTTCACACTTAAAACAATGAGAATTGATAGTCAGCTATGAAACCAAAATCATATAAATCCACTGCAGGGTTGTTGGTGGTTTTTTTGTTTTTGTTTTTTTTTTCCTCTTCAGTTGAAACCATGACCCAGCCTAACACAGTTCACTTACCAACCTCAAGTGCTCTGTCAGGTTTGAAAAAGGATAGAAGTGAGTCAGGAAGGGTGAACGTATTTCATGCTTCATAAATGTATGTTGGGATGGGAAGGAGAGAATGACCTGCTTGATTTTATTTTTTGGCAGTGCTCATATACCTCATTCCAATTATCTGTTGCATGTCTTATACAAAGACAGTGTATCTGCTGTCTGGATTTCCAAGGGGCATGTTCAATGTAGAGCAGCTGAAATGGAAGCTAAATGTTACTGTAGGCTTCAGTTTCCCAGCGGTAGTGCTGCAGGTAATTTTTCTAGCTATAAATAAAATGATCCTTAAAGCTGGATGCAAAGAAACAGAAGTTTGGGGATGATTTGGCTTGTCATCTCCATCACAATCTAGTCTTAATGAATATCTTGTTAGTTATTTCCACACCTGGTGTTTCCTATGCAGAGGCCTCCAGGATGCACCAAAGAAAGTAGAGAGCAGGAAGAAAGATGAAGCTTAAATTATCATCATCAGCTCTGTTTGTCAAGCAAGGTATGCACGTCTGAGGAAAGCTGTGTGTGGCTGCTGCTGCTGACAGAGCCCAGGCAGTGTGCTGTGTGCTTGCGCCCCATCTGGAGGGATCCCGTGAAAGAGAAACCCTCAGGCCTGGAGGAGGACAAGACTGATGCCAGCCTCTTGGCACCAAAGCCCACCAGGACTGAAGCTCATTGACCTGCTGTGGCTGTGCAGAAAAGCTGAACCACTCAGCACCTCGCTGCTCCAATGCTGCTTGTGTGATTCATTCCAGGGGCTCACAAGAAGGGAATCCTCTCACCAGTCATGGGAAAGGGACTTTGTCTGGACAACATCAATTTTGCAGTGTAGGTAACTTTCTGTGGTGGTGGTTTTTGTTGTAGGTGAGAAAGAGAAAAGAGATGGGTTGGGTACATCTCTCCTTGGGCATGAAGGAGAGGTCCTGTCAGCACACTGCCCTCAGTTTTCCTGTGAGGGCTCTTTCCATCCCCAAGCTATACCTGATGGGAATCCAAATTTCCCCTGCAGAACTCTGTTTTCATCTCACTGATGCATATTTGTTGATCTTCCCCTCCATTTGCTTAGCAAAGTTGTGTTCTAATATCCTGGTTATAACATGAAGCTGATTAGCATACATGCACCCAGTCAGCCTCAAACATATGGGAACCTCTCAAAGATTATGTTAATTCCGAGGCGATGCTGCTCGGCGATTAGTCACAAAGTCTGCAGTATAAATTCATACCTCTCTCTGCCTCTGCTCTCCTTCCCATGGCTGCTGTGTATTTTCCGTACCACCTCTGGCAGAGAAGCTGGAGGTCAGACAAAGAAAGGAATGAAATACCGTCTAGCAAGAATAGGTTATAAAGATAAATTGTACCACTCAAATGTGAGGCACTTGCAAGTGTGCTGCATGGCACAGAGTTCTGCATGTTGATCAGCTGTGTCACTTTACCTGTTTGCAATGCTCCTTCTTCTTCTGTTGTTTTGCTTTAGAGCCAGTGATAATGCTGGCTTTAAGCCATTTTTACCCCGAAAACTCCAAATGCTTTATTTAGACAAGGCTTGCTCTGCTCCTTGGCTAGAGAGGGCAAGCATGTGCCAGAGCCTTGAGGATTCTTGTTTGAGGAAGAGAATCGCTCCAAGAAGCTGGATGGGTGGGTATTGTCCTCTCAGCATTACTCACACGTACACAACCTCTTCATTTTCAGAGACTTTTTGCTCAGAGGAGGCTTCCTCAGTGCACCTCCTGTCGCACCCGGGCTTATGAAGCCCTGCATTTCTGCTGGAAACTTCAGGGACTTTTCATCTTGGATGTCAGACAAAAAAGTCAGTTTGCCCTTGCAAATAGCATCCTCCAAAGGCAGTCCCCCTGCAGCAGGAATGTCGTGGATGGCATGGGGAGAAGCACAAGGGGTAAAGCAGCTTGACAAGAGCACAAACCAGCAGCTGGTATTGTTTTGCTTGTGCATCTGTATGATAAGATTTTATATGATTAAATTGTTCCACAAGGTAGCTGTAACTAAGTTATAAAAAGTCTCATAAATGTCCCAGCTGGTAGGTAGCAGACTGTGAGACGCAGCCGATGGTCAAATGTATACTCTAATCGGTCATGAAAAATTATATTTAATTCACTTAGGTTTACTTGAGAGAGACTTGAAGCTAAAGGATCAGCCAAAATACCCTTCAATTCTGAAACTCTTTTGGCCCAATTCCTAAACTCTGAATACCCGAGAATTTAATATTTGACATTTCAAGCCAGGACACACCTGATCCTTGTGGCTTAAACCTTCAGTAATTATATAAATGAACTAACAAAATGATTTTTTTCTACATTGAAGTTCCTTTTATCTACATAACTTTCCTAGGAAAGCACTGTAACTGTAAATAAGGGCCTCATGTTATAAACTTCTGTCTTAGGGGTTTTTATTTTGGTAAGCCTTTCTTGAAGATATGTTTGATTTTTATTTATTTATTTATTTATTAATTTTTATTTAATCTTCCTTGCAAAAAGTTTTGTTTTGAGAGCTGTGTTACTGAAGACTGGTACTGTGGACAGCATAGCTTGCTGAATCTGCTCCGAGTGAGAAATAGCTTTCCTCTATCAGCACCATCTTGTCTATGTTATATGTGAATCAGCAGCACAAGTAGTGTGCTTTGGTGAATAAAAGGGTTTTTCTTGTTTGTTTTGGTATGGGGAAGCATCCACAGGAGCAGTTGCTCTTCAGAAATTAATCTGCATTATTTATTAATTAATCCTCTGTCGCTGCCTCACCTCCCGCAGTCTGGGTTCCTGGTGTTGGCAGCTGTATTTATGCTGAATGTACAAAGAAAGCAGAGCATCTCTCAGGCACGTGGGGAAGAGCAGGTCTCCATCTCCGTTTTGGTGGCACTAATAACCCCGGAAAAGTTGTGTCCCTGTCGCTGTTGGTCTCCTCTTTGGGGTTTGGTTTTGTTGCAGTGGAAATTAGTCAGTGTTGCTGTAAATATCCTAAGATTATAATGAATAATAATGATACAAGTCCCTATTATACTGTAAATTTCAAGCCTTCCAGCAGCAATGAAAGACGAACTGAGGGCTGAGGGAACTGGGGAGAAGCATAGGTTTGCCCCATTGATTGTATTAAATTCTTTGGGTTGGGTCTCCTCTCTTCATCTATCTCTCTCTCCTGTCTGTCTCTGTTGTAGAAACTCAGTATTCACCTTGGCTATGCCCATGTTAGCAAGGCCTGAAGTGCAATGGGAATAGGTTGGTGGAGTGAGACTACTGGTATTGGGACCACCGTGCTATTGGGATTGCAAGTGGGGTTACGCCAGGCTGGTAGTCTCATGTATTAAATGTCCCTTCACAGTTGGGCTGTGTTAGCCACTCTACTGGAGTGTGTCAGGAAAAGCTCCCATTGATTTATTCTTCACAAAAAAAAAATTGCTTTCTTTATAATGCTTTTTCTTTGTGGAAAGAGCCACATTTAAATTGTTCAAATTTGCAGAGAAAATTGAATCTATTTTTTTCTCTTCTTCATTAAAGTCTCAATCAAAAAGCACTTGATTTTCTGCCCTAACAAAAATGGAAGAGCAAAATAACATAACAGGGGTAGCAGATGCCAGGCACATATTCTGCCAATACCCACAGTTGTCAGGATGGGCAAATATTTTTCTGCATTTAAAAGTGCGTATTTTCTGTTAATTTCACAGGAATACACTTTCAGGAGTTATATCTTCTCATACCAGTGGACAGTGAAACATGCCTTAGGTGATTGTTCAGAACACCTCATAAAAAGAAAAATAAATCAGGTAATATGTCCTAATCAGGTCTTGTCCTGAACTCATTGCCATCTTAAATCCTTAAGTGAAAAAATATTTTCCCCTTACATTACACCTTTTATCATTAGAGAATATAACTTTGAATGTTGTTGCTTGTGTAAAATCCAGTCCCTCTTCTAAATCCTTTGCCTCAGTTATGCTGCAGCAATGAGTGCCATTTGGAGTTTCTACCTCCAGTTTTGTCTTACCACTGAAGATACTTTCTTTCTTATGAAAAAAAATATATGTATATGCGTGTGTGTGTATATACATATTTATAGATTTAAGAGAGTTTTTAATTTAAGATAATGATTTAAGAAAAATGAAAAATCCAGGATGGACTCTTCTTGTTTCACATTCACAAAAAAGCTTATTTTGGAAAATGTTATCCAGAAAGATGAAAGCTTTGAAAAGCTCTTGGAGTTTTTATTAGAAGCTGGTTGTTATACTCAGAGAACCAAACAAGAATAAATGATCAAAGACAAAGCTTTCTTCTTGGAGACCTCATTGTCTAAATAGAAAAAACGGGGTAGGAAGTAGGAGGAAAAAGTTTTGCTGCCATCACTGTTGCATCAAATTCAAGGTTAATATTCTGCGAAGGAATCACAATAGTAAGGAAAACTTAAGCTTTCATCCCAAAGCAAGGAAATTAGTCAACTCAGAATACAGAAACACTGTAAGTTCCATATCAGATAGACCTATGGATTTTTTAATTCCGTCTCCTCTCTTTCAGCAGAGCCAATTCCAGCTATGTCAAAGATGGTTTAAGAAATTTCACGGTAGGCAATTTATAGAAAAATGTGCCTGCATAGATTTTCTGGACCTCATTGTTCAGAGCTTGCTTTCTGCTATTCTACCTGTTATATTACATATGTACTCATGTGTATATATACAATGTGTCCCCCCCCCAATGTTTTGTTTTGCAGCATTTTTTATTTTTTTTTTCACACTTGTTTCAGGGGCCTGCTCTGCTGCTGACCCAATTGCTACTTTTTGTCATAAACTCCTCAGTCAAATAATGCTCTATTGAAGAGAGCCTCTCTTTCGGTTCCCTGATTTAAACATGAATGAATTTAGTTGCCTAAATTAATTTTACTGTTTTCTAGTTATTACAGTAAAAGTTGAGTAGAGATGCTCATGTAACCTTCATGAAATTTGCATTTTTGCTTCTATTTTCAAACCATTTTAAAAAACCATTCCTTAATTAAATTTTTCACTTCAACTTGTTTTTGTTTGTTTGTTTGTTTGTTTGTTTGTTTTTTATCTTGAATCTTTCAACAGCTGGCTGAAATTTTTACTGAGAGGCAGGGAGAGAAGAAGAAAAAAAAAAAAAATTAGCCATGTCAGAGGGAAGCAAGTTCATTTTCCAGCACCAGGGAACTGTCTCCCAGCTCACACCTGGTGGAAAGATCCTGAGTTTCAGTGCTGCAGATGAATGTTTCTGGCCCTGAATGATTTCACCTATCTGAAAAGGGAGTTAAGTGTTTGTCAATTTTGTCTAAACTGCCAGGTTTTCCTAGAAATAGTGTTCCAGGTTTTCATAAGCCTGGAGACATTTTTGTCATTTCGACCTCGTTTGGTTTATTATATCCTGCCAGCCATGTCTAGATAAACCGTAATGAAGGCTGCTGCCTCCATTATAAACCCACATCTACTCTATCAACAAGCTTTCAGTACCATGACCATTATAAAAGCTCTAAAATTTGATCTGCCATTGATGATAGGCAAGTTTCAATTTGTGGCTGCTAGCCTGCACAAAATGATCTACAAATGGCACGTTGCAGGCTGTTATTTTGTATCCTGCAGGATGGTGTGAAAGTCCTCTCCCTTCCCTTCAACGTGAAGGTCATTCCACCAGATCAGAAATTGCTATTGCTCTAAGTGACATAGGGAACTATACCAGAAGCTTAATTTAAAATAAAAATAGAGGCAGTAGAATAATGCTGCGTGCCCATTACTTTCCTGTCATTTGACAAAAACATTAATTTCTCACTGAGCTGGAAACCAAGACTAGTTCTTAAGAGCACAGTGCGTTTGAGAATGTGCTTCCTTATTGTTCAAATTGGTGGATCAGTCCTCAGACAACTCCTCCTTTGTTTTTTAATAGGAAATATTTTCTCCTTTTTCCACTCCTTCTTTGCCGTTTTTAAAGAAGCAAAGTGCTTATGAACCACCTTTGTACAGCTTTTATTTTCACTGGGCTTTCCTGAGGCTTTAACAGCTCAAAATTACAAATCCATGAATCCTAGTATTGATGAATCCAGTTATTGAAAAGCATGAATTGCAATGGTTAGCTAGCAGATTAAACCAAAATAAAGTGCTACCTTGAGGGCTTGAAACAAGTGCCCTTTGGAAGATTAAATTTCATGATCTCACTAATGGGTGTTTTGTAAGTTCAGTGTACATCCTATGCACATATCTTTTAAATCACTGCAGATTGCATATTGGTTTACATTGTTATCACAAATTAGCTCTACAATATCAATTTCTTTGATGCAGGAAACTCTGAACAGGAATCGTTTGCATTTCTATTTGAGTGTCCTGGAGACAAATATAATGAAATGAATAGCCTTTTAATTTAATTGGCTTCCAATGTGAGTCTGAGAATAGAAAGCACAATACATTGCACAGTTACTGTAGAAACGGTTGAGGTCAAAAGCTCAGCATGCAGACCCTACATCAGTCACTACTGCTCTTGTGCAGTAATTTTTTTTAATTTTCACTGCATCTCCATCAGACCCCAGGAAGCCAGATAATTCAGCTTTAGTATTCCAAGTGGAAGTGCTGGGTTGTTTGTCACCGGTCAGATCATGCAATGGAATCCATTTAAAAAAAAAAAGCTGCCAAAATGAAAAACTACGTTGTATCAGCGCTCTTGTATATCACCAACAAGAATACGATTGGGGGGGAAGTGAAGAGGAAAAATCTGTTTTCTTCTTATAGAAGAAAAGAGGACAGAACAAGGCAAGAAAAAGTGGTACAAAATGGATAATAGTCTGCCAAGAAATCCTTTTTCAAAGATGTCTTTCTATTACAGATTACAGACAGTTAAGATTTATGTGCTATTTATTGGAGTCGGCCTTACTGAATGCAACGTAAGCGAAAATGGAGATAATATCTTAGTAATATTCAAAACTCCTACATCCTTTTGACTGTGGAAATAAAGAGATACAGCTCTTGTAAAAGTTTAGGTAGCCAGGGAGCTCCTCAATGAACACATAAACCCTTCTACACAGAGCTAAATGTAGAAAAGGGACTTTACTATTTGGGGACTGGCTAGTGTGAGATCTGTGCTCCTTTTTTAGCCTGAATTCATTCATCTATATGCAAAAAAAGTTCAGAACTCCTCATCTGTGTCTGAGCCCATATGCCTATGCTGTTACAAACAAACAAACAAAAAAAAAATGTTAACCTGCCCCTTAATTTTTGGACTGTTGATTTTTAAAAGCACAACAATTCTTTTTCAGTACTCATCCATGAAAAGTTATTGGCAGTTTTAATATTTCCTTTTACACCACTAACTTATTACAGGTTACTGCATTATTATTAAAATTATATTGTTTCACAGTTGTGACTTAAACCCATAACTGCTTTGCCTGCTTGTGTAAGCACGGAGAGCCCTCTCTTGTACAACAAAGTTTTCAGCTTCTGTGGAAAGAAGCAGCAGAAATATGTCAGAGTGCTTGAGATGAGATGCTTACCACAACGCCCTTCAAACCCTTGTGTTTTCCATTATGCTAACAATGTAGGTGCCTCAGAAAAGCAGAGATTTCAATATTAACATAAAAGAATCTATGCAAGTGGTTTTCAGGCTTTCCCAGCAGCAAGGCTCCTCGCTACCTGTCCTTGCTTCCTGCAGAATTTAGGTGGGACATGCTGACAGAGAGAACTTCAGACTTGATCCTCTGGAAGTGTGCTTCAGGAGCAGCATGTTAGCTGTGCTCCCAGGCAGCTGCAGAGGCATCCCACGAGCAGTCTGCTTATTTTGGCTGTATTAATCAGCACTAAGAGAGAAGCAGTCTTGTGGCTGGAGGCTGAAAGCCAAGTTCCCCAGGTAAAGACACGGTGGTTGGGACATTTGTGAAAGGGCTGCCTGTAAAGAGCAGCTACAGTGGCCAGGGATGAGCCTCTGCAATGAAGGCAAAAAGGGGAGATGGCTGGAAGAAGCTTTTAATGATCATCTCTGGTGATGGAGCGTCTTGGAGCAGACGTGCAGAAGAGGTATAATCTAAATATAATACTGCATTTGGTCTGATTTAGGCATAAACGTGAATGGGTAGCCATAAGTGGACTTACGCAGGCTGAGTCCTCTACCTTGAATTTACACCCCTAATTAATTTGAATTGATTTCTCTCAAGCACTCTCATGTAGACAACCCTCAATTCAAAGGGTTTAGCCTCCAGTTTAACTCCATTTAAAAAGGTAACTGGGGAGAAAATGAAAGGAAAGCACGACAAAGGGGATTTTTCAGGCAAAAGCCTTCAATGCTCTGCTGAAAAAGTGCAATCACTAAGGTGAATTTGAGACAGATGGGGTGATACTGTGCCTGCAAGGTAACATTGTGTAATGTTACCCACCTGTCAGATAGTTTCTAAGTTTGCTATGTTTAACCAGGTCTAAAAAAAGAAGTACTTGTCACTTTAAAACATATTAACACTAGTGGTAAAATTGTGCCTTTCACTTTCATAACTGATATTCCTCAGACAGTATTGGAAGGGGAGCAAAGATTTTCCTTTTTTCGATATTCAGTTCTAACTGTTGAGAAACTCTCATCTTCTGCTGATGAAGCCAAGCTTTGCTTAAGATTGTTTTCCCCAAACCTTGCTTAGTCCCCTATTTCTAAGTATTCAGCCTGCCAGATGAAATCCTGGTGTAGTATCCTTTGAATATTTATCATGTGGCTTCAAGTAACCCAGTGTTGTTGTCTACCTGTAGAGAAAAGCTCTCTGTGGAAGCAGGTTTAATAATTACACAGAAAAGAGAATGTGTTTTCCTGCAATATGGAATGATTCACACCTGGCCCATCCTCCCTCTGCAGTATGCTAAATAATGCATGCATTTTCTAAAGGACATTAAAACATAGCTTCTCTCAGTTTCATATTTTACAGTTCATACAATGCACAACATCAGGGAAAAAAAAGTCGGTAAGAGTAAATGGAGAAAATGGTTGTGTCATCTCCCATGGAAATAACACATTTTCCTCATAATCTTCTGGTACATGGAACAGGCAGCTCCAAAGAGCAGCTGTCCTGATACTGGCTTGGAAAAGGTAAAGCCTGTAATCTACACAATACCTAAGCACAAGGAGATTATTTCAAGGCATGAAAGGCAGCAGTGTGTGTGCTAGGGAGGTGAAGCAGTCTGACTGCACATGGCAATGCTGGCTCCAAGGCACCAGGCAGGCCTGGGAAGGAGCTGACACCTCAAGGGTTAAGTGAGGAGCAGGCAGCACTCAGGAGCTGCTGCAGGCAAAGGTGAAATTGGGCCAGGTGCAAATCTCACTTTGTCCCCACCTGAAAGGTGGAAGAGGGATTTTTTTCACTCCCCCCACCCCATGCCTTTTAAGTCACAGAGTTTTTTTGTCTTCTGGTTTCAGGCTCTGAAATCCAGCCAAACTACCTCTGCTGGGGAAAAAAAGAAAATAAGCGTAGGCAGAGAAATACATTTTTCTTCCAAAACCAGCTTTAAACCAGAAGACAGCAAAACTCCCTTAATTTGGGAAGTCTCAAGACAACAGGTGGTGTGGTGAGAGCTGCAGTGTCATCTCTTTCAGACAGGGTGATGCACACCTCTGAAATCTTTGCTTTGCATGCTGATATATATATATATTTTTTTCTTCTTGTTAATGTTCCCCTCAAGTACCTCATTTTCTCAGTTTAGTAAATTGTGTTTTTTAGGATGCCTCTGAAGGTTCAGGGACATTGGGATGATTTGCCTTTCTTGTTTCCTTGGGACAAGGAGGTTCCCCAGTGGGCTTTTGCAGCAAGTTTAATGTAGTCTGTCTGACCTTGTTAGGAGGTGTTGTGATGGTATTGCTCGATTGCTGAGGACTGGGTAGCAAGAGGGACAGCAGAGACTGTGATTGCTACATGGAAGTGGGAATGTAGAAGGGAGAAAATATGATGAGGAGAGCTGGAGGGTAGGAAGGGTGGAGGAAGTTTGCAAATAGGGTGATAGATCGGTGACTTTTGCTCAAGAGCATCTGTAGCTGGATCAATGGAGGCACTCGATAGCAGTTATGCATCTTTTATAAGTGATTCCTTCCAATGACTAAGTAGGTTCATCTTTTTAGGAAACTGGGTTATCCTGACAGGCACGTCCATTTTACTTTATTTGACTTTTTCTTTTTCTTTTTTTTTTTTTTTTAATTTGCCTAGAGCTTAAAAAAAAAAAAAATCATTCAGTAAGGTATTCCCATCATGCTGCCTCTCACACCAGTGAGAGGTGAGGGGGGACAATGAGAAGAAAAACAGGGCATCTCAGCCTCCAGACATGCTACCCTGAAACACTGAGGTTGCTTCTCACAGTTCCAATGTTATTACTTTCTAAAAAGGATAAATTCTGCCTTCCCATGTTCATTACCCTTCTCAGGACCAGCAGCTGTTCTCTGTTGAATGCCCACAGTCAAATCTGCAAGTGTGCCCCATGCCCAGTACAGCATCTATGTGCAGATTTGATCCTGGAAGGGAGGTGAAAAATGTAACGAGGTCTAGTGCATAGTGTAATCAAAGATTTATAAGCAGCCATGCATTTTTAATGCATATAAAGTAATAAGAGCCGCTCAGCAAAAGCAGAAATGTGGCATTAAACGGTTGCTACTGCCAATTTTGCACAAGGTATTTTCAAAGCACCGTTTCAGCAGCAGGACTGCAAGACTGCATCCTCCCAAAAGGAAGACAATGATTTGATCAGACTCCAGTTAAGACTATGAGCATCCTATCTTTGAGGGCCTGCCTGGCTTCCCTGGCAGAACTTTAGAAAAAAAAACCTCCGTTGGTCAGGCCAAATGGCTAATCAAGAGATGTTTTGTAACACTTCCTTTTATTTTGTTCCCATAACAGACAACTTCAAAGCCAGTATTTAGAATCAATAAAAAAAATACAGGTGGTTGTGATCAAAGCAGGAAGGAAGCAAGGGCTGTTAGCACAGGATGGATCTGTAACCCTCTGGCCTGGGGTACTGCTTGGCAAGGAAGAAAATCTCTGCCCCTTCTTTTCATATAAATCTTCCCGTGTATTAATCTTTTTTTTTTTTTTTTTTCAATGTTTTCTTTTTCCTGAGCATCCCACTTTCTCCTTCTGTAGTTAGTAGTTAGCTGCCAGGGAGATGTGTTTTTCCTTACTAGCTACACTGAGAATTTCCTAAGGTTAGGGAAATGTGTGCTTCTGGGGAATAATTGGGTTCAAGTTATTTGGTGGTACTTCTTCCTGCTTCTGCAAGCCTCGCAGGACAGCTAAGGCATATATTATCTCATTTTCTGGAATATTTAGGTCGTTGGTTTGTCTGTTAGGCTGGCAGTGTTTTATTTTCAAATTGTATATGAACAAGTGTAAAGATCTGTGAGTATAATAAAGTCAGTGTGAAAAGAAACTAAGGTTCATCGCAGGTTTCCTTGCAAGTTAATTGTTGGGAGCACTGCTGTACAATCTGGCTTGGTTATCAGATTGATTAAAGTGGCTGGGGCAAGAGGCAGCACTGTATATGAATTTGGTTAGTTTGCCTTAACAAAAAGGTTGTTTTATAAATGGAATGAGGGGAAAAAAAAAAAAAGGCAAACAGCTGGCATCTTGCTGTTTCTTGACTTGCCTTAAAAGATCTGTTGGAAAATCCTGTTGATGGGAAAGGTCTGGTAGGTGCTGCTCTGCTGGATGCAGGCTGGTGCATCCCTTGTGGTCCCTCCTGTGGCCTAAATGAAGCTTTGGTTCAGTGGTTATAATTTGGGGAACAAATACTGAGTATTCAGTGCCCCAAACATGCAGGATTTTTTTTAGTTTTGCATAGATTTCTACTACTCTCCTACTGTTTGCCTTTACGTAGTCAGTGATACGTGGCTTTGGGAAGCTGCGGAATCAAAATTGTTAATTTTCTGCCACTCATAACGTGAGCTGCTATGCCCTCCAGCTTTTCCTCTTTGGGGCCCTGGCATCCTGCTTCGCTCACGTGTTTCCTGGGAGAGAACTAAGCCTGCCTGCGTGGCCCTGGCTTGTTTCTATTTGGCCTGAGAAGCTAATCTTCACAATTATTGTCACCAATTCAAGCCCATCCAAGTAGCTGGCTTTGAGAATATTTGAAATACTGCTTTCACTGTTTCAGAGACCCAGATGTACTAGCTTGAAACGTTTATGCTATTAAAAGAGCTGTGAGAAATTTTGGATGAAGCTCCTGTTGACTTTGCAGCCAAGATTTTACCCTTTCATTATAAGACTTTCTTTCAAACTTTTGATCAAACCATGGACTAACAGATTTATTTTCCCCCCCTCCTAACCCCCAAAATCTGATTTGCAAATATAATCTTCAACCTGAGACTCAGACTGCAATTGCTGCTGATTGGAATCACGCAAGGGAAATCAGGCTGTACAACTCTTTATTTTATATCGTTAAATGAAATGCTAGCATTAGTTAAAATATCCACCAAAATGTCACAGGTTTATACCTTAAGTGCATTATTCACTAATTGTTCTTTGGTATTTCCCCGAGGGTGGAAAGTATGTTAGTCAGAGGAGAAGAAACAATGGTCTGATCAATCACAGGCTCCTTGAATTGCAAATAAGAATCAGCAACCAGCTCAGCAAACATGTTCCCACCAGCCTCTGTGATGCTGAACTGTTGAGCTTTCTGCCGCTCTGTAATGTCATTCTCATGATTCTTTACAGAACGTACACGCTTAAATCTTTCTCACTTTTTTTTTTTTTGATAGTGCCAGTAAGAAAATGTAAGAATGTGTGAAATTGAGCGTAATTTGTCCCCAGAAAAATGGTGCTTTTTGAGTTGGAGAGGCTTTTGAAGTAGAGATGCTCTACCTTCACATGTGCACAGTGCCCATCATGTCAGCCAGGATGACAGGTCACTGACAGCAGCCCTACCATTAACTTTCTAGTGCTCCTGAGTTGCAAGCAGATATTATCTTTTATATTATGATACGACACTAGTGGCAGTCTAAGAGACAGTGCTAAGCTGCTGGTGTAGGCAAACACTTGGTGTTTTTACATCTCCTAAGAAAGTGAACCTGTAGCTGGGTGTTTTCCCCCCTCATCTGTGACTGGTGGACACCAGTGCAATGAACTGGGATCTTAATGCTTCAGTGTCATCCAGGCCTCTGTGACACAGCTGTCGTGTCAGGAGCTGCCAGAAGGGACTGCTTTTGCAGCTGCAAAGAGATGCTGTGGGGAGCATCTGCAGCTCCCCACTGTCTCCTCTTCCATCATGGGCAAATCTCAGATGTTCCAGGCACTGTATAGCAACAAATAGTGCCTTGATTCCCTCAGGTTTTCTTTTTGTCATCAGAGAAATTATTTAACAAGTTCCTGCCATGCATTCGAAAGAAGCATTCAGTGAGTTATGTGAAAGTTCCCCTTTTTGTCTTGGTCTTGTCGTCAGATTGAGACTGAATGCCTCCTTTGGAAATATGCTTCAGACAAACCAAAGCATTGAAGTCCTACCTGGATTCCTGGTGGAAATATAAGACTGGTGGAAATGTAAAGGACTGGGAGAGATGCTTACAGACAGAAGATTACATTATTCTATCTGTCTTTGCAAGTTATTATAATAGTCAAAAAACTCAGTGTAGCATGGTGTGGATTAGTGTAGAAGGCAAGCTTTGCTCAGTGGCACTTTCTCATACAGATGTACTGCTGATGTCTTCAGTTCTGCTGAAATCTGGGTGTTGGGAAGGACTAAAATACTTTACTACTCTGGTCTTGGGTAAGGGCATGTCTAAATAGAAAGCCATTTGGGACAGAAATAATCCCCATCCTCTGTTTTTTGCTTATAATGTTTGGTAAAAATCCACTCTATTCTTAGCTCAGCAATTGATGAATACAATTAGATAGCAACAATCAAATTGTATGTAAAATGGTTGTGGTTGCTTATTTTTATAACAGAGACGTGTATGAAAACAGTTTACAATAATTTAGTTACATTATGCTTCCTGATCAGATTTTCCTAGAGATCTATGCTGTATGCAAACATGAAAGAACTTGGAAGCTGCTAGGCTTTCCGAAATGTTAATGTAAACATGTTGCATATGTAGGACTCGCAAGCATTTTCTAGGCCAAATGCGTATCAGAATGTGGTTAACTGATTAATTGGCTAATAATTAATTGCTTTTGGACTTGGGCGTGCCTGTGCCATGTGGGTTTGGTTTGCAGGGATCATTAAGAGTGGTGCTTCTCCCTCCTGCAGTGGAGGTGTCCATCTGAGCAGCTGCTCTGTTTTTTAGCAGCGAGCAGTAACCACTTCTGAGGAACAATTCCCCTGACCTATTTTAGGCAATTACTGCAGAGAAGAAAGAAAAATAATTGATTATCTAGTAGCACCTACCCCTACATAAAGCAAACCCAGACTTCTGGTTCATGTTTCAAAACCCACGTGGATAAATTCTGCGTTGGGGGACTGGTGAGACTGCAAATGCAAAAGTAGAAATAGCAGCCAAATGCACCTATTGGTAATATGAAGATTAGGAATACTTTTCTCCTCCTTGGACTGGATGAATTCTCTTCTGAGACTTGATTTCAATCTCTTGCCCAGTAGTACAGCACTTATGTCTAGGGAAGGCTTCT